ATCAATACGATCAATTTCTTCCATCAATTATCACAGTCTTTTATCACAGTGATCCAAATCAATCCTTGATCAGAAAAACCCCTCACAGTCTGACACGTTCACACTCATCCTTCCTCTGATTCTTGATTCATGTCGCTCATTCTGGTCCAACAATACTTTTCATCGTGATTTCAGAGTCGCTTGTCAATCTGTTGGCTCTTATTAGTGTGGCTAATGGCTATACCTCACAACGTGCAAAGTCCTTTTCGCCCGCCAACTGATCGTCCTCCTCGACTTCCTCACCCCCTGAAGCAAGATGGTGATCCCAACAATATGGAATGAATCAAACGGTGGATAGCTATCGGTGACAGCTATACGGTAGGAATTAGTGCCGGACGACTGCTTGGCCATCAGATCACTTCCGACAAGGTGGCTTTCACAGTGCCTGGAGACCTGCGAGACGCATCTAAAGCGTACGATTTACGATTCAATCCTCTGTAAGTCGCCTGATCCGCGTGCTGCCGTCAGACATAAACTCGACCGACGGGCCCCTTCACCACCAGGCTGCCCAACACGACTTAGTCGTTAATCTTGCAAATGAGAATTTTGTAATCAATAGAGACCAATGCATCGATTCCATGCGAAATATAATTAGTTCATATAATACGAAAGATAACCCGATGAACTGGCAGGGCGGTGGCCGTTGAATCCGCGACGCCGGGGACATAAAATACAAAATGCATCCCGGGCGCAGCAATTGGCCGTGGCCTGGACCCAAAAACGTCTACGGGCACTGCGAGGGCTGGTACAAAGTGTTATTTGGACAGTATACGATTGAGGGCGCTGGCTGGGCGACGTGGGATTGGGAACAGAAGACTATGCTGCCGAATATGAATGGGTGTTAATGGGTTGGGGACTACAGAGTGGAAGTTTGAGTATTATGATGATCCGGGGAAGCATAAGGGGTATGAGTGGAAGGTGACGTTTCAGACGCCGGTTTGAGTGAGGGCGAGGTGTTGGACGGATGGGTGTAAAGGGAATGATTGAAGTGTGGGTTGGTGTTTGTCTGAATAGTGTTAGCATTTGTTTTGGATGAAAGTTGATAGTTGAATTGTTGGATATTGTGTCATGTGTATAAAAAGCCTTGCTGTCGTGAAGTACTTGGATTGCTTGGTCTTGGTTAGATGGCCTGGAGGTCATAGGTTTCATGCAATTTTTTACATAAAAATTTATCTGCCTTTTTCCTATCAACTCTATGAGTTAGAAAACCTTAGTCAACCGCCTTGGGGTATATCAATGTTGTCCATCTCCGAAGAGCATCAAGACTACCGCATAACCGGCGGCCTCGCCTCTTTGTTAAAAGCCATCCTGCTGCACAACCACTCAACTGCCTCTTGCACACCCGTACCCGTAAGCGCACTACAGGGCAACACTCGGCTATCCCTCATATTGCCCCCCTTCTCGCCCTCAAACACCCTCCGCACGAACCCCTCCTTGATCCTAACCACCTCCACACAATCTTCTCTATCTTGCTTATTCGCCAGAATAAGTATAGGCACACCACTCGCTTCTTCATTCGCCAATACACTCTCCAAGACAAGCTTGCACTCATCCAGTCTGCCTATATCCTCATTGCTCGCCGCATTGCTCGCGCTCAGATCCGCTAGCGTCGCGTTTCCTACATCGCTGCTGTCGATAACAAAAACAATGGCATGGCAGCTGCTATAATAAGATTGCCATAGGCCGCGGAGGCTATGCTGACCACCAACGTCCCATATCTTGAGGTAGATGGGCGGGTTTGGCGGTGGAAGAGCGATGGTAGCGACGTTTTGGCCCACAGTGGGCACGGTGCGGAGGTTGGCGTTGGACGAAGTATATGTGCCTTTTATTTGCTCGAGGAGAGTTGTTTTGCCAGCATTGTCAAGGCCGAGGAGCAGGACCGAGTATTCTGAGCGCGAATGTTAGAAAGTGCGGGCGCATAGCCGATTGGGGCCTCAGATCAAGTGATCCTGGGGGTGCATGTTACCTTCTTTGCTCGTCGCATGCAGGTATATGGACTTGAGAAGGTGGTACATGGTTTGCGCAACGCGTACTGTAGGCGCGTGGGCTTCACATGTTGGTGGTGGATCGGAGGGTCAGTACGGGACGCGGTTAATGCCTGCAACGTGGTCCTTATCGATAACAGCCTTGATCTTGAAGGGAAGGGCAGCCCCCCACCCCTTTTTCATCTCTTGTTCAACACACACACTGCAATTGCAGTATTTTATCTTGAGTCAATCAGTACAGCCAAACGATCACCACGTGGGATGAGCAACGGATGAATTTACTACTTCTATCACCGAGTATATTGCCGCCGAGCGCCGCCCGACATCATACTACGGGAGGTAGAGAAAGACAGAGTACAACATCAACCCACGCTTCAACTGCACAAAACGTTCACCCCGTCATTCAAATATGCTCCCAAATTTCTCTTTGTTTGCTGCTATCATCTCATTCTGCCTTCTGAACAACATCCACTCCGTGTCGGCAGTAGTGACTTAGTCAACTTGCCGACTGGTCCTCGGTCGAATTTTCCTGGACGATAAAACTGTCAATGTCGATCCGGACGTTCTTCGCTATCGCCGCATCGATCTGGGGAGACCAGCCCACTTGAAAAGATTTCCTCAAATCCAGAGACATAGTTGAACATGTTCTCTGAGGGACCGATCGATGCGCTGTGTCACTTTCGCCTTGGTCATAAGCTCCTCCGTAACCATGGTGTAACGAAGCCGTTACTAGATACGCATAACGCAATTGTTATGCCATCTAGCGGAGGTAGATATAGCGCAACAAATATGCCTGGCGAAGGTGTAGCTAGGTATGAGGATGTAGATGAATCGTGTCAAGAGCATGCATGTGCAAAACTATAGGTCTCGCACAGGGTCATAAGGCCGGGCTCGTTGGGCAGGCGTGCCAGTAGCAACGGCAGCAGTATTAGTAGGTGCCTTCTGTTTCGCAGCCAAAGCCTTCTTGCGAGCTGTACAACAAACAGTCAGATTAAGCTACTGAAGAAGTAGACGATTACACATGCCTTCATGCTTCATGCGAGTTAACGACAGACCGAGACGTTTCCCTACGACTTCCAAGCTCACTGGTCGAATATTCTTTTCGGCTAACTTCTGGTTGACATTGTTCATGATCGCGTTCTTTGTCTCTTGATCGAGAGCCCTCCATAGTATGTCAGGGTCTTGCTCTCTGAGCCTCCTCGCTTCATTGGTTATTATGGCCTATCCATGGTCAGATTTCGCAGAGGGTGAGGAGGATAAGATTACGGTCTCACAACAAATACGTCATCCCATTCGCGCGCGGTCAGCCCGGCATACCTACGAACCTCATGTTTTGACGGTTGATCTGGTAGCCGCCGCATGGCACCAAACGAGGCTGACAATTCTTGAATTCTCATGCATCACACATGATAGCATGCGGCCAGCTTGGCCAACACTGCCACCACAAACCCCCCTTATTACTCCGCGGGTCTGAGGTGTGTCCACATGAAGGAGAAGAGCGCCACGCACGGGTTTGTTGGCCGCAGTTCGTAACAAATAGGCCGCAATATACGTAGTAGTTACGTGGTGCGCCACAGGGGCCACCCCTGAACGCGATGCCAAGAACAACAAGCCCACAATCCTTCGTCTGTGTATCTAACCTCAGCAGAAGGACGCTTGGGCTATACTGCGCCTTTCCACCTATTTACTTGCCACAATACATACAGGGGTCTGAGTCGAGATGATACGTGCTGACTTTGTCAGTTTTGCATATCACGAGTATTAAACAACTATACAGCGATGCATTAGCTATCCTCAAGGTATACTCCCAGGGTTTTATTGCAAGGCTAATGTATTTTTCAAATTCAATTGATCCTACATGAAAGTTTTTTCAAATTAGCATCGTATATTTGCTTATCTCTTTAGTTATGTTCTGGAATGAACTCCAGTGGTCTCTCCTGCAAAAAGAAACACGATCCGATCGTCTCCGATGCACCCTCTTGTCAAAGGCGAACAAAATCAATTGAGATCAAACTCTGACTAAGCATCACGTGCAACGCGACGACTGTTGACGTAGGGCTTTATCCAGATGCTCCTGGCGAAATTTCTTCAAAATGTTCCGGCTCCAACTCAAGAAGCATGCATTATCCTTGGCCCGTCCACGATTAACATCTTGGAAGAAGATTATCACGTACTGGATAATGAAGTATACGCAATTTTCCTATGCTCTAGCGCCGTCAGGGTGAGCTGATAGACAATGGGCCCCCTTTCCGTCCGTTGATGGTGAGAAACGGTTGGAAGCATTTGGAGGAGTTGATGCTCAATGCAAACATCCACAGGATGGAAGTATGGTGTATAGCATATTCGCGAAGGATCTCTGCGGTCATTCATGGAGCTGAGACAATGGGCATCTCCTTGCGCAAACTGGACTAGATATATCTCCATTTCGGCGCTGCATATCGGCCACTCATGGCTCCGGCAAAACGTGAGCGCAGTGCTAAGACTACGACTAATAGTAAATTAGGGCAGTGGGCAAAAGAACTGAAGAACATCCGTTTGGTTCGAAAAGCCAACCGATCTGATGGCGGCAATACAGCTGCTAACATTACAGATGATGACACCTCCAGCAACTCCAGATACCGCCATGGTAGGCAAGGATTTATCATTAGTTGCCCACCCGCGAAATACCACCGCCAAACACATCGAGCTATGACCCCTGCGCAGAAACGTGCAAAGCAACAAATTCTAGACGAACAGGTCCATTTCATAATCATAACGCGCGATAACAACAAACCGGATGCATACGGCACAGCCTCCACCACAAATGGCCCTCTGACATGGGGAGCCGTAGCAACAGCATACAACGAGAAATACAATGTCTCCGTCACTGCAGCAGCGATGGAGAAGCGAGTGAGACAGCATCGCACTTCATGGCTAGCAAACCACCCAAACTATCCCACCACAATCGTGTATGCGGAAAAAGACAAGTTCCAACAAACTCCTTGTCCTGAAACTAGCGCTACTGAACGTAGATATGGGAACACGTATGAGCTTCTGGACAAACAGGCTGCCCGTGGGCATATAGCAGGCTATTTACCTCCAGATGACATTCGCAACCAATCCGACATGCGTTACTACATCGAGCGTGGAACGGCAATCAACACCGGTGTCGTCACCATCCAGATCCTAAATACGCATGGAGAACCTATCGACGCTATTAGCATCGACAGCCAACTTTTCCAGCGAAGTTCCGGTGTTCTCGGTCGACTTCGAAGCAGCGAACTTCAACTGGAAGTTGAGCTGAACATCTCGGCAGTAGCAGCCATCCAGTGCTATGTCGCGTGCGCATCTTCAGATGAACTTCCTGCATCGCCGAATCAAGAGATAGGGAAGGAGATTTCCCTCATACAGCTATACTGTCTCGCTGCGCAGTTAGAAGATGAGCATGTGAAAGGGTTGGTGTTGGATCGCTGGCAGATGTTGGCTGATGGGGGTGAAGAAGTTGAGTTGGATGTTGATGAGCTTAACTTGCTGTTTGATTGTACGGAGTATGGTGATCTGGCGCGTAGGTTTTGGGTTGAGGCGGTATGTGCGGCGGGATTGAGTGAGGAGCTGCTTGCGAGGAGGGAGTGTGGGATAGCGCTTGCTGAGCATGTTCGAGACTCCATGCTTTCTTATGCTTGAATGTTGATGATTTCGATGATGGTATTAGTATGATTTCTTACAGCAAACACATGAAAGTGTACTCGCCCTAAAGTGTGTCTTAGCAATGAGCCTTGCAGTAAAAGATGGTTGTATGCGCGCATTCATACAGTATCTCGCTGGCTACTGGTACCACGTCTCTATCTTTCACAATGCTTAAGAGAGGTTCAGAATAGCTAGGAAATGCTACTATAGTAGATAGAGGCTTTTGGGATAGAGAACGTAAAAATATATTGGCATATATTACTTCGACCAGGGCCCGTGTAGGTTCAGGATGCGTCAACCTGCAGTATGCTTGATTATATCCTAAGTTTCTCGGCAAAATGTTGTGTTGAAGATCGTGTGGTTTTGTTACGGAAATTTTGTCACTTCCAATAATATATCTTAGAATTGATTGGAGTGGTACTGATGTCAAACTTCTGCACCTCAGTGTTGAGATGGTGCATTTCAAGCTCCCAAAACAGATGGCCAGTTCGACTAGTACGCTATAGAAGAGATAATCTTGGCCTAACACCTCGTGAAATAATATTTGCGAGTATTCAAAGACGGACACAATATCTACTGTGGAAATGCTCAACGGGTATGCCTCCCGGAAGAGCGCCGATAAATGCCGTGGAACTCTGGAGGCATACTACCCTTGCCATAGGGAAGTCCAATGGGAGTTTAGCTGGTCTTCAAATCCAAACCGGCCCGGAGTGCCATTGTCCGAGACATCGGAAGCACCCTGTCCATAACGTTGCAAGCCTGCCGCATATCATCTGACTGTTTCCCTTCCGTCTTACTTGCAAGGTAACACGAGATCGTTGCGGCCGTGGATTTAAGGTATGGACTGGACACCAACACCGTCTCTCGATAGCTTATCCGCATTGGGTATAGCAAGGGGAAGATGGCCGTTTGTGACGAACAGTACGCCTACCGTGATGCAGAATACGTACCAATCTGACGCTTGTCCAACACATCTACCCCGCTCGGCACGTATTTTACCTCAACTCGACAACCGCTAGACGTGACTGGAGCGAAGGAAATTCCTCCGTTGCACCAGGATCCCGTCTTAATACCCCCCTTTTGATCAGTATGCATTATCGTAATGAATATCGACTTGGTTCGTTAGTGCTCTCATGCCCACGCCATGGCTCAGATGCAAAGCCAGACGCTAGTACTTCCGCCAACGCTGCGCTGCCATCCATAAGAAATGCGGACAACATGAACAAGGACCATATTCACGCGCTTCAAGAACATCCAAACTGGAGCTTGTTCGAACTATGCAGTTTGCGTCCAATAATGGTTTTGTGTCTCAATCGCCAAACACTGCAGTCAAAGTGAGCAGTCCGCCTTCTAGATCAATACCTATCGACGTTTCTCTGCTGATACGGAGGCATACCGTTCCACCTGTTGCGATACAAACGCCGTTTTTAAAGTAAACGGCGAGGTTGATTCACGTAGAACATCAATAATGCACGATTATCAACGAATGACATGACAGTGGAGTCCCTTACCGTCAGAGATCGCAACCTTATTTGACGCCTCGCAAGATCCAGTACGTTCTACGGTACCTCCATCTGCTTCGAAGCTGCCAACTATTGCGCTTGCTTGTTCCGTTAGATGCCCAAGGAAGGGGCTCCTCCCGGATCTCCGTGATCCCTGAGGCGATGGCGCACATCCATGTCAACATAATTATCAAGGGTTGTCCTAGCCACGGGGAAACCGCTTTTTAATAGGACGACTGATTAGAGTTTTCTTATTTCCTTTGCTTGGCGTCTTGTTTCTGGAACTCTGGTCTTGGTTCAACGCGGCTGGAATACTGCATAAGCCGGCCATTTCGGGCCATAGGCCGATCCACTGTCAAGATGGAACGGCTTGTATGCCTCTCCCCAGATGGTTTATAGTCTGATCGTTTCCCCACAAAAGCTTCTCCACACCTCCTTCATTGCAAGCGTCTCTGCCAAAACAATGGCGAAATCCAAGGAACCACATGTCAGTACGACCGCGGAGCATGCCGTAAGTACTAATCTTCAAACTTTGTTTCGCCCTCACCTTCTGACACGATGATAGTCCAACAAGAATGTTGTGTCAGAAATCGCCATTGTCGCAGGTTCGGAGGCAATTGCAGAAGCCAGATTGAAAGAGCCCGTAAAGCTCTTCACCAGCTCGGCCATCCTGCTTTACATTTGCGGGTTTGTTGGCTTCTTTTGCTCCACCTGCAACGGATTCGATGGCTCCATGTTCGGTGCTCTTCTCACCAATAAGCAATTCAAGGAATACTATAATGTCCAAAGTACCGGTGCTTGGGCTGGTATCGTGACATCAATGTATCAGATAGGGGGTGTTGTCGTGCTTCCTTTCATCGGCCCGGCTTGTGATACCTGGGGCCGCAGGGTCGGTATGGTTATCGGAGGCACTCTTGGTTGCATCGGTGTAATTATCCAAGCGACTTCCCCCGCTTCGAGCCCTGTAGGGCAATGTAAGTCGTTCCGATCGACAATGGCGAGTGCAAATCTCACTAACTTTCCGATAAGTCATGGGCGGTCGTTTTCTGCTTGGATTTGCCGTCCCGATAATGTCGACTGCCGGACCCGTGTACGTCATCGAGACTGCGCATCCGTCTCATCGCGGTGTCATAACTGGTCTTTACAATACGTTCTGGTTTGTTGGATCGATTCTTGCAGCCGGCGTTACGCGTGGATCTGCGAATCTTGCAGGCAATCAGTCCTGGAAAATTCCTGTGTGGATGCAGATGCTCTTTCCAGGCCTTCTCGTTGTACTACCCTGGTTCTTACCCGTAAGCTGCACTGACTAAGGCGCTGAGATGCACGCATACTGACTTTGTCAAAGGAATCGCCTCGCTGGCTTTACACTCGTGGCAAACAGACAGAAGCCAAGAAAATTCTTTCAAAGTATCATGGCTGTGGCAATGAGGATAGCATATGGGTCTCCATGCAAGTCCATGAGTATAACATCTATCTAAACATGGATGGAGGTGATAAGCGCTGGTGGGATTACAGGTCTCTCTTCATGAGCCGCCCAGCCCGCTACCGTCTTGCTTGCAACTGCGTAGTGTCCATCGCTGCTCAATGGGCCGGAAATGGAGCCGTGGATTATTTCATTGCGGGAGTGCTTGAATCGGCTGGTGTTACATCAGAGATCAAGCAAATGAACATCAACCTGGGCAAGAGCTGCATGCAACTTACCTTTGTAAGTTTTCTAATATCAAACATGGTATTCAGTCTAACAAAATACAATAGGCTGTCATTGGTGCTACGTTCGTTGACAAGCTCGGCCGCCGACCCATGTTGATAGGCACATTCAGTATCATCAGCTTCGTCTGGGTTGCTGCTATTGGGGCAGTCTCGTATCAGAACAGTCACCACAGTATCCCTGCTGGCAACGCCTTTGTCGCACTAGTATTTCTCTTCAACGCCGTCTTCGCCTTTGGTATTACGCCGCTCCAAGCCCTCTACCCAGTCGAGGTGCTCTCTTTTGAGATACGAGCCAAAGGCATGGCATTCTCGCAGGTTGCGCTCCAAGCGGCTATGTTGATCAACCAATTCGCGTATCCTGTCGCTCTGAGAAATATCGGCTGGAAGCTGTATATTGTCTTTGCCTGCTGGTGCCCCGTCCAGGCATTCGTTGTCTGGCTCTTCATTCCAGAGACCAAGAACCGTACTCTTGAAGAAATCGATGACATCTTTAATGCACCGAATCCAAGAAACGCATCGCTTATGAAGAAGAAGGTTGCTGTTGATGGACAAGGAAATGTTCTTGAGCATGAGAAGATCTAAATACGAGGATGCTGCCAGTCTGGCTATTTCTTGTGAAGTCTCAGACGAAAGTCGATACATCGGTGACCGATCAATTTGGAAGGGTGTTAAATATAGTTTGCACATTACCATCACAAGATAGTATGATAATGAAGGCACGGATTAAAGTCTGAATTGAAAGCAAATCACTAGAAGATTCCAAGACTGTTTTAACATCCAAACATTCATAATACCGTATTTCATAATGCCTTTTCTGAGTACTTCAGGAACTGAAACAGGAACACATACATTTACGTCTCAAGCATTAGATCCACAAATACACCAACAGCAACGCCAAGTTCCTACAGCTTCCTTTTCCATGCTCACTGATACCAGAACAAAACGCCTATCCAACTTCCCGGATGTACGACAGCTGACTGTAAACAATAGTCCTCTACGCTAAAGCTGACTGGGCCCATACATCTCCTCGGCAGTTTCGCCTGCCTCTCGCATAGCATGCTGCTTCTCATCCCCCAACGCATCCCGTGCCCATCGCAAAGCAGCTTTCGCCTTCTCCAGACGACTCTCCATCTCCAGCACTTTCTTTTCCGCATTCAATATCTCAGGCACCGATTTCTCTTCCCTCAGCTTACTTAACTCAGTGTGCGACATACCGCCTGCACCGCTCGGCAACAGTCCATTCGAGTGTCTGATAAGCTCTTCCGGTGTGGCGAAGTTGTAGAGCGCTCTGATGAACGTAGATGGTGGATGGACGATGTGAGATGTGTAGCAGCCGCGTGCAGTATGAGGGTGATGATGATACCTCTTGCAGTGCTCTTCGCGCGAGCAGTTAATGAGATGATCCTCTGACGCATAAGTAAAGACTTGCTTTACTTTGTTGGATACCCTGGTAATCCACGTCGCATCCGTGTTGCTACCAAGTCCACGCATCAGATCCGCAATGAACCTCAGCGTCTGCACGTCCTTCGATACCTCCGCTAGATGCGTGACGATGCCTTCTCCGAAGTCCTCTGCGCTGAGCTTGGTCGGGTACATAGCTACTGTAGACGCGCGCGATCGACTAGAGACACGAGTATCGCTCACCGCACCATCGATCTGACTGAGTCGCTTTTGCTCAACGAACAGGAAGTGAAGTCGATCAATAACCATATCGACAACCCACCCCACCTCGAGTATCTCTGCGAAAAACAGCAGATCAAGCAGTCTCACAACCGTCCACTCGATCTTCTCAGCCTTCACAACGCCAAACCGGTCGTACACATCCGATGTGGCCGCTTGTGCTTTCCACAGGTAGTGCTCGGGCAGCTGCGTTGCGCGTACGGGAGCGATGAGTTGGATGAATGCGTTGACCGTGCGTGCGGTGAACTTCTCGGGGACGTCGATGATCGTGTAGTTTGCGCTGCGGTGTAGGCTTCGGGCATAGAAAGGTGAGTTGGCAATCATGATCTTGATATCGACGCATTGCGGGTTGTCTTTGACCAGGCGCTCCTCGTTGGAGTTCAGGAAATGGAAGCGCATGAACGAAGTTGTGCGGTTTCGGATGTGGAATTTTGCGCGGGTGGTGGGTGTGATGTAGGTTTTTGGGATGGATGCCGGGTCGTAGAATCCGGGCATCGAGCGTGAGGAGGGTAGAGGGAAGGGAACTGGGGTCGGAGGGGGAGGGCTGGGAGGTTGGGGGGTAGGCTGAGTAGGATCAGAAAGCAACGCTTCTTCACCTACCATTTGTGTGTCCATATCCACATCCTCGTCAGATTCTCCTTCTGCATCAATGTCGGGGACTGGGTACGTGAGTACGTGGACATAGTCTTCGTTTTCGCCCATGAAGATCTTGCGGGCGATGCCGCAGCGTTTGCTTAGTGTCTTCCATGACAATGGCTTCATTTGCTCGCGGAACTTCTGGTTGTACTCGGCAGTCACTTCATCCCAGTCTTTCGGGCCTGTGGCACCGGGGACAAGGTTATCACGACAATGGATGATGAAGAGGTCTCGTTCTGACACAGACTGAGGGCGTGAGAGCCATGGACGCGTATGGAGCAATTGAGAGATGGTCGGCTCGGAGGTGACAGAAGAGGGCTGTTGACGTGGTGCTTTGGTTGCAATAACGCGTTCACCTTTGGCGTTGCTTGGAGACGACATGGCGACTGCTTTTATGTTAGTTTGCTCAATGTTGTCAGCACCAATCTCAGAGTCTTCTGATAGAGATCTAAAGGCGGCTTTATGTTTTGACGCCACCGTACGGCAACAAGCTTGTGACTTACTATCTGGTATTCAAGGATGTGATTTCGAACTGTTGACGGTTGACCTGAGGGGGTTCGGTTGAGACTTGGGGCAATGGCTGTGGTAGATGAGTTCTCACAGTGGGGTGATGGTTTTTATCTAAGTGCAAAATCCAAGTGAGTGTGTGGAATATTGGGATGATATGTAAGCCAAATCCACAGTGACTGTGAAGTAATGAAATTGAAACGAAAATAGCTAGCTTTATTGTGAATAGTAGTCAAAGTTGCGTTCGATCTGTTTGCCTCAGCCCAAGTGGGAAGGGAAGTGAACGTGATAACTGTCATGTAAACAAGCGGTCAGATTTGCACCAAACGCAAGCCTGGGGTGATCGATTGACTCATGAATCGATTGAAGAAGAGGTACATCTTGATACTCCTGGAGGTAAAACTAGCGTTTGATTATTTGATCATCTCATACCAAAAATTCGTATCAACTATATCACAGGACTCGCTTATCGTCGGAATCACCGCCTGAAGATGTATGTAATTAGTACACCAAAGCACATGTAGGGACAATAACTAGTGCATCAAAAATAAATAATTATTCGCATCGTCAAATCATCTTGCAGCCATTCCGAGATATCTCTATCAACAAGGTAAATATCTAACCGCTTCGGATAAGCCACCTCGACTGGAACAAGACATACACACTTCAAAGTTGAGGAAATCATCTATAATTCATGCTATGCAGCGCTCCTATAAGCGCATCAGTGGTATCTAAAAACAGGCTAGGGTATCTAGAGTAAGACGAACGCGATAATTCGGCTGGAACGCATCTACAACATGCCGAAAACCGTAGCGCATACAGCGAGAGCGGCCATCATTCCAACGCTGACACGTAGTCCACTTCCAGCATCCTCCTCTGCACCTTCTCCCTTCTGCCCCTCCTTAAATCCGTCTCCCATATAAAGCGCTCCCAGCTCCGTAAGACCGCCATCATCATTGAACAATGCTACCCCGTCGCCGGTCCATTCATTCGCGTCATCGGGCCTGAACGCGCCGAACCATGCATATCTCTCGACATTCTCCTCACCATCAAGGTAGGGTAGCGTCTGGTTCATCATATCCACGGTGTTATCTGCGTCTTGTTGGGGCAGCGCCATCTCCGTGATCCAGAGCTTCAACGGGACGCTTCGCGATGTGTTGGTGTTGTAGAACTCATCTAGGGTGCCTAGCCAGCCCGCAAGGCCATCAAAAACACCGTACCAATGCACAGCTACAAAGTCGGCTGGGCAACCGTTTTCAGAGTCAATATCGTAGCAAGACTCGTTAAATCGACGTAACCAGTCAAGACCGTTTGGACTACCAGTTGTGCTAGGGTGGCTGATCAACCATTTTCGGCCTCCGCTGTCGCCGTTGCGAAAGGGAACAACGTAATCGATATAAGCTTTCGCAGCATCTTCGGGGCTTATGCTGCTTCCGCCACTGCCTTCTGAGCCGTCCGGTTCATTGAAGGATAGCAGATGTTTGCTACTCTCTGGCAAGCCTCGTATTACACGCTCAGTTTGTTGGTCTTTGGTGGCGTCGATACCATGAATCATAGGCACGAACTCAAGTCGGTCGGCTGGGATAAGATCGTTGTTTGGGTAGGGTGACCAGTTGTAGTACCATGATAGTTGCGAGGTTTCGGAGGTGAGAAGTCGATTATCAGACTTGTGCGTGTCGCCAATGAATGCAAAGCCACGTTTTGACTGTTGTGCAAGCGCCGTTGTGGCGAGTATCGAAAGGACGGTGGTGGTGAGTCTCATTTGTTGTTTGTGTTGTCTGGATGGGTGTAGGCGAGGCATGTTGGTACTTGTGGAATCGCAAATTGGATATCCACAAAAGCTTTGCTAATGTTTCAAAGAAGAGAGATATCTGGGGAAAGACGATTGACAACGGATCCCAGAGTATACCTTAGCTCTTATCTTTACATACATGTTGCGGCAAGGTACATGCCCATGCAAGGCTCGTGCTGGGCTTGCGTCATTGATCACGGGAAAGTTGGTCAGCCCGGTTGGAGCAAGGCGACGCAAGATATGACGAACGGCAAGCGACGTAAGATCAGCGGCTACGTACCTCGATGGAGCAATTCGGACCAAATGGGGCCGTAAAACAGCCATTGAGCGGTTGGAATACACCGATGTTTATCCTCAACTTGCCAAAAGCAATGTGACACGCTAGTCCCAAAGGAGGATAGTGTATGTCCATCCAGCTGTCTGGAAGTTAGCACAAAGAGGTATAGACCGAAGCTCCCATAGAAAGGTAGCTTCCAATTTACTTAAAAGGCTATGCTGACTATGGTGTTTCGTGCATTCATTACAAGTATCATAGCATTATACGCCAGCCTCCATGTGGTGTGATGTGTGGACATGGCGGTCGCAGAATCTCGGATTGGAGGGTGTCACAACGGAGAAGCACAAAGGTGGCGACGGAATTGGCATAGGCGCATACGGTATCGATGTTTGTGTGAACCAGGCCTTGGCCCTATTTATTTCATGGACCAGACACCGTAGAAATCGAAGTGCCATATCATGCATACATGATGAGTGTGAAAGACCCTAAAGATTCATCGCTCATTTGACTCCAAACCGTGCCCATGCCTTGACCGTTTTCTTCGCCGCAACATCACCACTCTTATTTACTCTATTCCTCAGAGGCGGTGATGGCCTTGCGGACAGCACGGCCACGCTGCCTGGAGTTCAAGCGGCGCTCGAGAGTCTGGGGACCCTTCTGGACGACCTCGGCACCTTCGGTAAGGATAAGCTCGATGTGGGAGGGGTTGGACATGTATGGGTTGATCTGTTCATGTTAGGAAAGTTTGCGCGATTTGTCTCGGTATACGTACACGACCGTGAGCACGGTAAGTGCGCCTTCGCTGCTTGGGAGCCTGGTTGACCTGGATGTGCTTGATGATCAGGTTGCTGGTGTCGAGGCCCTTGGTGTCGGCGTTGGCCTCAGCGTTCTTGAGGAGACCGATGAGGATCTCAGCGGACTTGACGGGCCAGCGGGCCTTGGAAACACCGAAAGCCTTGCCTACTCAAGTCAGCGTGCGTTCCTGCCATCGCCAAATCAAACTCCATCCAATCTTCAAGTCCCATCTCTTGCATGTGTCCTCCCATCGCGCCAATGCGCCAATCAATTTCAGGGCCACTCACCCTGAGCAGTGCGTCCAGTGCTGCCAGCGTACCGCCTCATGGGAACGGCCTCCTTGTGCTCCAGGACATTTCCGAGGTAGGTAAGGGCGCGCTCGAGCTTCCAGCCGTTGACGGCCTGAGCGGTCTCGCGGGTGTTCTTGAAGGAAACGCGGAGGTAGCTGCCGCGGGCGCGGGCAGACTTTGCGCCGTCAATGGAGGTTGCTCCGTAGCGAACCTGCAAAAATTAATTTCATGTTCGAGTCGCAAAAGTCAATGATGCATCGTGGCGGTGGTAGACGTACCATTTTGTCGATTTGTGCTGTGGGTGTTAGTGGAGGTTGACGACGTGGTGTCTGGGAAATTCATGTCAATTTTCGATGTGGGCAGAGCGGCTCGGCAGCACTGCACGGGCCATGTCACGTGCTTGGCGCGCGGTTCTGCGCTAAGACTAATACTCGGATTTTTTTTGAGCTCGAACTTCAAGCTCCTGCAGTATCCATCGCTCTACCGCGACACCCAGTATCCACACCCACTTCAACGCGCAATATCGCTGCGCACCGAGTGGAATTACATATCAAGAGTTAGTACCATGTACATTGCCACTTCGGATCTCAAAATTAACGATGCGCGATAGCCTTTTCATCTCCATAAGCTTCAACGAAAACTCCGAACCTAGTAGCAATGGCCTTCACTCCCAGGTATGCCTCCCACTACTCGAACTTCCATCGCGAGCTATAAAAGACTTGGGATATGGTCTTTTGAGCAGTACTGCGCCAACTTGAAACTTTTCACTTCGGCCTGTCGCTCAATCGATTCAAGTCTAAAATGCTTCTGAGAAAAAAAAACTTTACTAACATATCTTCAGAGGTGGTCGCGGCGGTGGTCGTGGCGGTGGTGACCGTGGCGGTCGCGGTGGCTTCACTCCCAGAGGCGGACGTGGCGGAGGCCGCGGTGGTGGTGATCGTGGTGGCCGTGGCGGAGGCCGTGGTGGTGGCCGTGGTGCTCCACGAGGCCGCGGTGGTCCTCGCGGCGGTGGTCGCGGAGGCGCGCGCGGCGGAGCCAAGGTTATTGTCGAGCCGTGAGTAGAGTCCTCGTCCAGAGTATACCTCTAGCTAACCTTAGATTTAGCCATCGCCATGCTGGTGTCTTCGTCGCTCGTGGCAAGGAAGATCTCCTCGTCACCAAGAACCTGACCCCCGGAGAGTCCGTCTACGGAGAGAAGCGCATTAGCGTTGGCGCCAGCGCCGCAAAGGATGGCGAGACCGAGGCCAGCAGCACCGAATACCGTGTCTGGAACCCCTTCCGTTCCAAGTTGGCTGCTGGTATCTTGGGTGGTGTCGACAACATCTACATGGGCCCTGGCTCCAAGGTCCTCTACCTTGGTGCTGCTTCCGGCACATCAGTCTCCCACGTTGCCGATATCGTCGGTCCTGAAGGAACTGTCTTCGCCGTCGAATTTTCCCACCGCTCTGGCCGTGATCTGATCAACATGGCCACCCACCGCACCAACGTCATTCCCATCGTCGAGGACGCTAGGCACCCATCGAAATACAGGATGCTTTTGGGCATGGTCGACTGCATCTTTGCTGATGTTGCTCAGCCTGATCAAGCGCGTATTGTCGGACTCAACGCTGGCATGTTCTTGAAGGTTGGTGGCGGTATCGTCATCTCCATCAAAGCCAACTGTATCGACTCCACGGCCGCTCCAGAAGCCGTGTTCGCACAGGAAGTCGCCAAGCTACGAGAGATGGGCATCAAGCCCAAGGAGCAGCTTACCCTCGAGCCTTTCGAGCGTGACCACGCCATGGTTGTGGGTGTCTACCAGCGTTCGCAATAAATGGGGCTAGGTGCGATGGGCTAACGGCGCTTTTTCTTATTTGAACGATGCATGCAATGTGGTCATATACCTGTACTTTCATGGAACTTGGTGTTTCTCAGGCGTCATGTGGGGAATCTTTTGTTTTGATAAAAGATCTATGGATGCGATTTGGACTGTTCGATTGAACCAGCTTCTGAAAAAAAATGCGTCGTGATGTTTATCTTGGTGCATCGAGAACATGAGCTTGAGTTGCAGCTTTGGCCTTTGCATAGTTGCCGTCATGGTTCAGCAGCGTTGAAAAATGTATTGTCTTCAATTAGCCTTGATATTGGATTTTTTTCTCGAACAAAATATATGCTTGTTATCTCCGATAAGTCCCAGTGATCCCCACCACTTGGTTAGTGTGTGTTTGCCTCGCACTATTGGACAGCAGTAGGAAGGGCCGATTATGCCGCTCACAGTGGGAAACACTGCGACTACATTTTGACTGCCTTCTAGCAAATATATTGTATCATAGTCGCACCTTTCAGATTCGTGTACATCATTGTTTTCTGATCTGTGTAGCAGATGAATATCTTGATGACCAAAAAGAATAACAGACATCGAGATTGTCAGTTGTTTGGCTCTGTACCACGTTGATTGTCGGAAGTAGGTAGTAGAGTCTACAATTTATGTTAAAAAAATACATGACTAAGAAAAAGGGGATATGGTGAGGAGAGTCATCTCATTTCAATTTTGTCTAGTGGTAACATGTATGCGACAAGAAAACGACAAGATTTCCGTATCCTGGGTAGTCCGATGGGTTTGTAAAAATAGGTGATATTGGAATGCAGGAAAAGTAGCGGAACGCTAATGGACGTTCTTGCCTCCGCATCGAGGTACAGTGATGATAAACAATATGTTGAGGGGTGACGTCAGATCAACGTACTGGTAGAAACAGTAGAAACATTAAAACTGCGGTTGTTGATGCAGACAAGGTCTCTACCTAAACACAACACCATCTCCATACTTCAAAATGGCGTCTCCCCAAGCACCGGTAGCACCCTTGTACAAGAACATTATCATTTCTGGTGGGGCTCGAGGCATTGGCCGAGCATTGACCAGGATGATGCTTGAGGCTGGTCACCACGCCTACGTCTTCGACATTGACGAAGAAGAACTCGACCATACGTGTAAAGTTCACCTCCAGCAGTACTACGCGGACGGTAGACTAGGATATGCCATCTGCGATCTTCGGAACGTGAATGAGATCCGAGCCAAAGTCAAGGAGGCTGCCAGCTTCTTTAACGATCGAATCGATGTTCTCATCAACAATGGTGGAATTGCTAGTCCCCAGTGGAAGGACGGCAAGACAATGGAAGACCCCTCAACAATTGATGAGTGGCAGGCGTACATCGACACGAATCTCACTGCTCCATTTGCCATGAGTCAAGCATGTGTTCCTTACATGAAGGCACGAGCCTCGGATGTTGAAGAGGGGGCGCACATGCAGAATGCAAACAACTCCAGCCCTGCAGGACCCTGTATCATACACATTGGCTCATTCCGCGCACACCAGTCGGACCCCAACCAGGAGGGATATGCATCAAGCAAGTCTGGTCTGATTGGACTGATGCACTCAATGGCAATCAGTCTGGGGCATCTAGGTATCAGGGTTAATCTCATTGCGCCCGGTCGCATCAAGGTGGCACATGAGAGCAAGGAGGGCGACGAGAAGGGGACAGATTGGGCCAGTCAAATCAGCGAAAAGGATATTTCAGACCACCCAACGAACAGAGCTGGTAGACCGAAGGATATCGCTGATGCTGCGCTGTATCTGATTGAGGCAGGCTTCGTGACTGGCCAGGACATCACGGTAGACGGAGGAGCGCTCAGGAAGAAGGCATGAGGATTGAGAAGGAAGGCATAACTAGAGTGTGGGCGAAGGATATGGAAAATCAGTTAGTTCCAAATTACAATGAAAGACGATACCCAGATCACGAATATATTGTGGCATGGCGGGGGGTAGTGACGACAGGGATCGGATCGCGGAACAGGACCGCTTGATCTTGCTCGCACGGACCCATGGCCAAAAAAGTGACGCGGGCGAGGTTCTGCAATGACTTTGCGCACGCATTTTTGTACCAGCTTCCAACACCTTCAAATTGGCTTCCAGACTAAGCGCCACCGGTCGTGTTACGGTCGCCACGATCCATGTCCGCTTCTTGAAATCATACAGTCGACCCCGGGCGGAGTTTCGATTCCAGCCTCTCCTCCTACCGCCCGCTAAGCCACTCGAACCCGTCGATGCAAAAAGCAGACCACTTGCGGATAGTAGCAGCCTAAGGAAGAATTCAAAAGACATGTCCTGCAGCATTGAAGTCATTACTACGCCGACGGCCGACAGCCCAGGTACTGCGCTCGTACTGCGCACGGCAAGCAAGCACTATGTCTTTGGCAGCATGGCAGAGGGTACACAGCGTGCAATGGTGCAACAGGGAACGCGCTTGTTGAAGGCACAGGATTTCTTCCTCACTGGCAGGGCCGAATGGAAGAATATGGGCGGGCTCATTGGCATGATGCTCACACTGGCCGACGCAAGCACAAGCTCCTACACCACCTCCATGGAAACCTTCCGACTGGCTCAGGAGCGAGGCAAGAAGGCTGAAATACCGCCGAAGCCACATTTTGATGTATACGGTCCCCCCAACTTGAAGCACACACTGGGTACATGCCGGAGGTTCATCTTTCGGAAAGGCATACCCATTGCTGCCACCGAATACACAAACCATTCACCGGCTAAGGATGAGAATGGTGTCATACTTCCCACATGGCAAGACTCCAACATCAATGTTTGGGCCATGTCGGTCTCTCCAGCTGGCTCCCAACCAGATGCACAAACAGAAGCCGAAATAGAGGAACGGCGACGACACTTTGATACGTGTCTGAACACCTTCGAGGACTTCCAGGCCCCAGAAAACGAAACTCCAGAAGCTCGCGAAGTCAGATACGATAAGATACGGACTGCGACCATCAAGTTCATGTTTGATTCCAATTGGAGCTTTGACACCCTTGTCGAGCAACACATCTCAGAGGTGAAAATGCCAGCCGCTATGTTTGTTCGCAACCCGGAAACTCACAGCTATGAACCTTACAACGGGCCGAAGCCAGGAGGGTCAGAACCTCTGCCCGATATCACCGTATGGACACGGACACCTTGGCCTGGCGCCCAGATTCTGGCTCTCCCGCCGACTAAACCTGCTTCGGAGTGCGTCTCGTACATTGTGCGATCGCACCCTACCCGTGGCCAGTTTGATGTTGCGCGTGCGAAAAAGCTGGGCATCACCCCAGGGCCAAAATTTGGCCAGCTTTCCAAAGGCATATCAGTCCAGAATGCTAGTGGAGAGTGGGTCACACCGGAGCAAGTCATGGGTGCGGATAGGCCTGGTCAAGGAATCGCTATTCTTGATGTTCCCTCAGTCGATTATGTTGAAAGTGTTGTTCAACGAGAGGAGCTCAACTCGCCAGAAGTCATGAAGGGTATCGGAGCTATCGTCTGGATGCTTGGCCCGGGCGTGGCAGGCCACCCAACTCTAACAGAGTTCATGAAGAAACTGAGTGACGTGGAACATGTCATATCCTCTATAGATACTGCTCCTAATCGTATGACTAATGACTCGGTTGCCATTCAAGCTACGCGTCTTGGACAAGTAGATCCTGCCAGATACTCCACGCCCGTGTTTGACAGTACCAGCATCCCTCAGAAGAGTATCTACAGAGCCGGCCAGTCGGCGTCATCTGAGCTGCCAGAGGGTGTTATTGCTGCTGACCGAGGGTTGACCTTTGCACTTATGCCAAGATTTATCATGAAGAAAGAGTCGATCTCGAGGCCTTTTGACGTCGAGGCGGCAAGACGAGACACGGCGATCGAGGTACTCAAGTTGGCCCAGGAAGCTCAGGTAGTAGTGGAACACAATCGCGAGGACATGAACAAGTGGAGAAAACTCCTGGCGCGTCCAGATACAGAAGTCATTACGCTCGGTACGGGCTCGGCCTTACCATCAAAGTACCGCAATGTTTCTGCGACTTTGGTTCAGGTTCCCGGCATTGGCAACTACTTGTTTGACTGCGGCGAGAACACGCTCGGACAGCTTGCGAGAGTTTTTCCCCACGAGGAGCTCATCGATGTTCTCAAGAATCTGAGGGCGATCTGGATCAGCCACTTGCACGCTGATCATCATCTGGGGACAGCTGCAGTGATCCGGGCCTGGTACCAAGTAGTGCACAACAGTGTGCCAAACCTGCAGCCACTCGGCAATACTGTGGGTGGCATTGACATCAGTGCGTATGGTTTATCTGTCATTTCACATAATGGCATGCTCCAGTGGCTGCATGAGTATTCCGCGATTGAAGATTTCGGATACAGTCGCATCTTGCCGTTGCAAATCACTGCCAATGAACAAGGCAGCTCTTCCCGACTCTCGATCATGAACACGTTCGGAAAGGAGAGACCAGAAAATCCAGAAGTGCACAGATCAGTGTATGAGAAGTTCTTTGGTTTCGAGGATATTCAGACTGCGCTCGTAGCGCATTGCCATGGCTCCATGGCCGTCTCAATCACCTTTCCTCGCTCACCCTCAGACCCCAAAGGTGTCAAGCCGCTCAAAGTCAGCTACTCAGGCGACTGCAGACCAAGCTGGCACTTTTCAAAAATCGGCACAGACACCACTGTGCTCATCCACGAAGCAACATTTGACGACGCGCTCTTGGGCGATGCCAAAGCAAAGAAGCATTCGACCACCTCCGAAGCCTTGGGCATCGGCGCAAAAATGAACGCCAAAGCAGTCGTCCTCACCCACTTCAGCCAGCGCTACCAAAAAATCCCGGTCCTACAAACAGTCACAGACGGCGAGCAAGAAGATCCCCTCCTCGACCCGTCAAAAACCGCCGAAGACCCCACAGACAACGACGACGAAGTCGATCCTACCCTCGAAAACGCAGACAATATGGACATCCATCCCACCAGCGCCCCACCCCCGCGCGACGCCGCCAAACCCATCCCCACCCTCCAGCGCCAGTCGTCATCACTCGCCAAAATGGAGCAAGTAGTCAAGATCCGCAACAAAGACCTCAAAGTCGCCATTGCGTTCGACTACATGCGCGTGCGCATCGGCGATATCTGCGAGTTGGAGCATTTCACTGATGCGCTGAATACGCTGTTGCTTAAAGAGGCGGAGGCGGACGGTGAGATTGCGGATGGGGAGGCGAGTGAGGGGAAGGGTAGTGCGAAGAGGGCTAGTGAGAGTGATGGCGAAGGGGGGAAGAGGAATAAGAAGAAGGCTAAGACGAAGCAGGTGCAGAAGGGGAAGAAAGAGAAGAGTGTGAGGAATAATTAGGGAGATAATGAAACAAGAGTCTCTTGTGGTGATGGAGAATAGAATTTTGTGATGTAATAATCGAATGTAGACTCTTCTCTCTCGTCTAATTGAGATTTATACCTCTAGTATCTCATGTTTTCTTGCCTTTCTAACACTCATCGTGCCATCTCCCCTCATCTTCTCCGTTTCTCTCAAGCAAAGACAAACCTCGTTGTCTTATACCCCTCTAATAAGGGCGCTGCGAGATCCCCCCTTCTTATACCTCTCCCCACCCTTTCCCAACCCAGCAAAAAGCCACGCAATCCCCCTTCCCTCCAACCCACTGCATCTTCGATCCCACTCCAAAATCACAGACGTCAACACTCTTCTCTTCCTCGTAACATCGTACCATGCCAAGTGTGTCACCGCCACGCTGAACCCGCAGAAAAAAACGGGGATGGAGGGGGGGAAGGCGAATACAATAAGGTTGTTGATTGTAACGTTAACGGGGCCAAGGGATAGGGGGGTTGATCCTCTTTTTGGCATTTGGGACAGGCGGAGCAATAGTTAGGCCGACGGATATGGGATATCCGGTGGGCTGTGATGAGGCTTGGCGGATAGAGTAGTAGTAGGAGTGGCGGGCGGGTGTGGGGCTGATTTTACATGCGTATGCAAGGTTAACCTTATGTAAGTAGGCCTATGTTTTTAATAGGGTTTGGCAGATTGAGAGGGGGGGAAACGGGTGTTCCCGGGAGCATCCATGATATAATCGTGGTAGGAGTTTCGGATCTCAAACAAGTTTTTTGTTGTTTGTATGTATAAAACAAAGAAAAACAGGGTATCAGTCATACACTCTAATGTACGCAACTCGACTCAAAGTTCGCTCAAGGGCCGCGCAGAAAGCGTCCTCAAATCTACCGTCATACGGAAGCTCTTGAGAAACTCTCTCATTGCACTTGGTAGCTTGGGTTTCTCCCATGCCTTCATCACCGCAGTGATGTAGGCCTCGTCGGCATCACGGTGGCGGTTCATGTAGAAGAGCGTGTTGCCGAGGGGAAACCACATGGCGCTTAGTCCTGTGACGCCAAATTTTTCTTGCATGAAGTAGTCGACTGAGCGGGTGATCATGCGGGCAAAGGGGCGGGGGTGCGGGCGGTCCGGATGAGAGAGGGAGTAGTCGTCTGCAGGGTCAATGCCTGAGGCGATGTCGAGGGAGGAGTAGACGAAGAGGCAGATGAGCCAGTAGCGAACGGTGAGGCAGGCGATGTCGATGTTCGGAAAAGAGATTGTGGTGTATAGATCTACAAAGGCAGGGGTATATATGGAGTCTAGGTCTGCTGATTTCCAGCTTTCGAGCTGGAAATGCATGGTCCAGCATTTAGACAGGGTGTGGAGTCTGAGTTTCTCTTTGTCAACAGTATCTAAGGAGGTGAATTGGAGTTTGTCGACCGACCAGAGGAGTTCTGGTATGCCGCACATTATGTCCATGAGGGCATCTTCGTACGATTTTGTTCTTCCTTTCCAAGGTAGCGTTTTCCAGTCCGGTGCATCGAAGATGGTCGGCTTCCGGGCTCGTATTGCGGGTCCCAGCAGTCGGTATCTGGCAGTGGTAAAGAACATGTGGGCTGCATCATCGGCAGCAAACGCCTCGGGTCCACGACTGATGATCATAGCTAGTTCACCTTCCGCATGGCTGAGCCAGCTCTTAGCTTGGTTAGACGAGTCAGGCTCAGCACCATATAGCATGTCAAAAAGGCCCATGATGCGAGGCACAATGAGCAGTGATTTGCTGTTTGCTCTAGCAGGATTCCGCAACGCCATTGCCGTTTCCTTGAGCGCCTTTCCGTATAGCGTCCTGCCGTGCCGGGTAAGGCTTTCATTCCCTGTGGTAATCCCCAGTTGTGTCATGCCGACGGCCAGGGTAGCCATCTGCAGTGCCTCATCACGTGTACTGAGCAAAGGTAGCAAATTAAACAGTTCCCTTGCGTCGACATTGGTGTTACGTATTATCCCTGCAGGGCTGTACATTTCCAGAAACGCAGCAACAGTCCTCTCGCTGTAGGCCGCTTTGGCAAGGCTCTGGGGAAGTATCAAATTCACAGGAGTGGGGCGTACGTCGCATCGTTGTACAGCCAAGGTGGACTTTGAATGATGCACCACTTGGTAGTCGTGCAGATCTGGCTGGGTTGGCGATGTCTTGACGGTCGCATATTTGTCTGTTTTGAGCGCGGCAGCCCGACTTAGCGTGCCTTGCTGGTAGATGAAGATGCGATCAGAGTCGTAACCTCCACATTTTATCCCACGTCCCTTACACTGGCCGCATTCGGGTTGGACTAGGTCGCACTAGAGGAATAAACATCAGCCGCAGGGTCCTGGCTACTACTCTGTGGCGAGAAGTGGGCTTTCGACTTACACCTTTTTTCCTCTTCCTGCAGTCAACACATCCCTTGGAGCGCCCTGGAACCCCGACCATGGCGGTCTAAGTGTGGAGAATGAAGAGGCGGGTGTACGCCGACTACCTACTTAGTCAACAAACAGGTTAACGCGCAAGGCCAGCGCAGAATGTTCCCTTTGCAGAATCGGATGGCATGCTTCCTTTAATCGCCAGCAAGGGTACATTGGTTGAATTAGGTTGACAGCAAAGCAGCTCACCCATTGGTGTGGACATGTCTATGACGATGCTGAGAATCCGCGAGGCCCGAATAAGGTACCTTAGTCATAATACGCCCCGCTTTATCAGCTTTCCCGCCCAATCACATACATTCACTCTTATCCTCTTCTGGTCCAATATGCGCAACCAATCAGAGTCTTCGAACTGGAACGCCAAGACCTCCGCCCCACCGTTGTAAAGACCCTTTACCCTGCATTCCGCCGGTGGGTCGTGTGAATATATACTCCGACGATCGCTGTAAAACACCTCTGATCGGGCGCCAGTGCTGTCGCAGAATCAACTCTTTGCGGTCGTACTGAGCCCACCGCTTCTAAGGCAGTGCACAAAGCATTATACTGCGTACATGCTGCGGACACTAGACCCTTGTCACCTTTTTCTTGAGTGTTACGTGCACAACCGTCTCGAAAAGGGAGTATCATGACGTTGATCTCGAAACAGTTGTGTAGGATATAACATGGAGTGGGCCATCGGACGAGAAGGGGAAATTAGAAGTTTAGATATCAAGCAGCTCTCCTGCTACTACAATAAGCACCTTCTTCTTCCTCCTCCTCCTCCTCCTCCTCCTCCTCCTCCTCATCATCATCATCATCACCTCTTTTCTTCCCTCTGTTGTTTGTGCAAATATATACAACATGGTCGCTAAACCACCTTCCTCGAGCACTTTTGCTCGCAAAGTCGCGAATCCACTTGGTTTTACAAAGACGTATAACTTCTGGTTGTACTTTGTATTTGGGGGTGCGCTCCTTGGTTGTAAGTAACTTATTTACCTCTTCTACTATTGTCTAATCTGACTTGGTTTTTTTTAAAAAAATTCTAACACGTATGCCACAGTCTCACTAGCACGCCTGCAGTACCTTGCCTTCTCGAGCAAGTTTTGTCCCGCCGACGGGCCGAGTTCGACGGGAAATAGCGCCGCGCCAGGAGAATGCTACTACTACCTCAACTTCAACAGGTTCAAAGTAGGGATTCTGTTGCATCTTGGCGGCGTCCTGCCTGCGGGCATAATTGCCGTGATGCAATTCACGCCGTTTATCCGACACCGCTGGCTCATTCTCCACCGAATTGGCGGATACGCTTCACTGCTGCTGTACCTGATCAGTCTCGTTGGAGCCCTGATGATTATCCGCCATGCATTTGGCGGCGGTCTCGATGTCCAGAGCTCTCTTGGTACGCTGGGTATCACCACCCTGGGCTGCTTCATTATCAGCTACATCAATGTCAAGAAGCTGCAGATTGAGCAGCATCGCGCCTGGATGCTACGAGGCTGGTTCTATGCTGGCTGTATCATCACGACCCGCATCATTATGATTATCTCGGCGCAGGTTATCAAGAACAGCGGGTACTACACTGTGTGGCCTTGCGCGAAGATTGCGGCTACCATCGAAGACGATATCGATCTTATTACTTCGTATCCCGCATGCTCTGCCTTTGCCGACGGCTCAAACCCAGACGCTGTATCTGCCGTAGCCGCAACTATTGGATCCGGAGACAGGGCAAACACTGGTGCCGCGCTGAATATTGCATTCGGTATGGCTGTCTGGATGGCGTTTGCACTACACGCTATCGGTGTCGAGATCTATCTACACCTTACACCGCGTGAGGCCCAGCGCCTGCGCCAAGTCAGTTACCAGAAGCAGCTCGAAGCCGGTATGCGCAACCCTGGTTCCGCAGGTCTCACATCAGACCGCCTGGGTGATGCGGAAAGGTGGTCGCCCGATGCATCAAGAAAAGATAGTACGAGTCCATTGACACCCGGGACTCCAGAGCCTAATCGTCGGGTAGAGCGCAAATGAGGAGAGAAAATCAGACTGAATGGGGCGGATTTGTGAAATGACACCAAAGGTATAGAATGCTTGGAACGATTCCTTTTTCGTTATGTTGCAATATCATTAATCGCCGTTTTTAGAAACTTAGAGATTGAATTTAGCCAGTCTAGCTTTGCATCCAGGACATTTCATGATTGTTCATTGGTACGATCTGTGCATTTGATATGACAGTTGCAGCATCGAATAACAGCCTTCTAAACCCGTATCTTCATATTCACGCGGGGAAAATTGACTAAGTATTGAACAACATTTTTGAAAACTAGCACTTAGAGAGAAAAACTATGAAAGCAAGGATTCGACATGGGCCTCACTGTTAACAACCAATCCAACAGTCACAATCTCGAGAATGGTCATATGTAGGAGGATAGATAGTATCATTCGTATATATGTACAGGGTCCACCCTTTATACAGTCCCTTAGCCTAAAAACCCCCGTGAAGCATTACGTGCCCGCTCGGCCGTAAATACCTCTAGTCGCACGCCACAAAGTATGACTTGCATGCGTCGTACATCACCGTCTACATCGGGAGCAAGAGGCTCGACGCGGATCCGCCAATGTGCACGTTTGAGTGTCCATTCCACCTCTAAATCCTGCTCGTCAGCTCGGAGATATGAAGATTCGGAGTCTGATCTATCGCCGCCCCACAGCCATGTACCGTGGGAGTCTGCCCGCCGGATACCAAGACGGCCAGTATTGTCATCCACGCCAAGCTCTGCGGGAGCACCGTCGATCTCCAGGGCACAGTCAGTCTCGAGGCGAACGCGAACGCGGCGATCGCTCACACCAGAATTGGCCGGACTAACTGGTTGCGCCGCAACACCCCCGCCAGACTGCAGATGCATGAGCCCCAGAGGTTGCGTGGCTGGCAGGCCCATTTTTGAAGCTACAACAGAGAACAAGGATGTAACACGTGCAAGTGTCGAGTTATGGAACGTGGCTCGAAAGTCGACTTCGAGTGGACCCGTCCGTGAAGCCTTGGGGGCGGACCATGGCAAAAACAACGATGTCGATTCCGTTGAGGAAATCTCAAGAACCAAGATATTACTATTTGCATGGTCATCCGTATATGGACGCGCGTATGACACGTAGCCTGCTCGCGTGACAGCACTGCTGCTTGCGTTTGAAGGTGCTGGACTGTCGACTTTGCCAATAGGCTGTGGGGATGCACTGATTGACTGACCACCATGGACCGATCCAGAATCTGAGTCGCCCAATGCTGTTTTATCAGGGATGAAGGAAACACCCGACGGACGAATGTCTTCGAGCCGCACCAGAATTTCGGACTGCTGGCGCCGTACATTGAACGAGATTTCACAGGGTATCAGCTTTTGCTCAAGCCCTTTGAGATGGAAATAACGTGCGTCTCTGAGGAGTTTGGATCGGTGTTCACTGTTTCGAATCTCGACATTGTATCCTTGTAGTATCTGTATCAGCTCGTTAAAAGTCTCCCCGTTCCTGTTCGGCACTGAGGGTGGCTTGATGGATGGCGGGCGGAGCAGCGCATCACGATCCAGCCCCGGAAATGCTTCTGCGGGCGTCAGGAAGAAATGTGCGAATCCTAGTGAGAAGAAGTTGGGACTGTCGCCTGGAGCAGAGAAGAGATCACGCGGTATCTGAAAAGGAGTCCCTCCTATGCGGACAAATATGTCAGTACCGAACAACTGTTTAGTAAGTCGAGGTACTACTACAGTCAGCTCTCAGCCTTTCTGCTCTTCGTAAATGAGCTCACATGAGTAAAACTGAGCATCAGCATACAACTTGACAAAATGCTCGCCGTCTTTCGGAGTGATGTGATAGCCCTGTAAATGCAGCGCAATGTCACGGAACGTTTCTGGGTCACGGTCGATATACAAGGTCCTCACGTCACCAGCGCGACCTCCGTTATCGTGTAGTTGCTGGCCGAAAAAATGGGAAAAGTATGAAGGTGCTCTAGTAGTCTTAGCTCACCGGCCTTTGATCCATATTTCGCTTTTGGCATATGCTTACCATCCGACGAGAGCGAGGCTCCAGACAATCTGAATAGCTCCGAGCCAATCTGTATGGGAAATACCTTGCCTGCGGGCAACATGTCTATTCCGGCGGGCGCATCTTGTATCTTTCTCGGCGTTGAAACGTCAATGACTCTGCCTTGCGGTCCTGTGCCCTTGCTCTGCTCCTTGCGCCGCTCAACTTGTGTGTTTTCTCGCGGCGCCGGTTGCGATGCAGTTTCGTTGGGCACGGAAGGGGCTGTGCTACGCGTCGTCGTTGTCGCCGCTGCCGCATGTGTGTCTACTGATACCTGTATAACGGGCGACGTAGCCGACGCATCTGACGACTGACGCGACTTATTTATGCGCTTCGAGGGGTTCTCTGCAGCTGTACCGCCAGTTTGCGATACAGCTGAAGATGGCTCAGAATCGAGCTTGCGCTTCATGCCTGTCTGCACTACTGGTCTCTGTTGTTGCTGTTGCTGTTGCTGTTGTTGTTGTTGCTGCTGCTGCGATCGAGGAGGCGGGGGCGGCGGAGACAATGGGATCTGGGTTTGCGTAGCATTTGGTGGTGGTGGAGATGACGCGCTTGGGGGTTGCTGGAAAGGCGGATATGCAGAGTCACCATTGGTGACGGGGAGCGGGATGCTGAAGTCGTTGGTAGAGTTTGCTTGACCCTGGAACTCCTGAACCAACTCGCCCTGGGGCTCATACTGGTTGGTAAAGTCGGTGAAGTCGAGCGAGTTTGTCCAGTCCCATGCTGCAGGCGCCTGGGAACCAAAGTTGAAGCCCGCAAACTGGCCCTGCGCTACCTGCTGTTGTTGCGCAACATAGTCGCGATAGGCTGTCGAGGCGTCATAGACTGGGGCTTGGCTTACAGTCTCGGCTGTGCTTGTGTCCTGATTCGCGTTGTAGCTGTTGTACGACTGTTGTGGATACGGCTGCGATGCTCCACCTGCTTGGTCAGAAGTTTGAAATACAAAGTCCCGAGAGGTTGCGCGCGACCGGTCAGACATTGGCTGACCACACCCAGGCAATCGCCTCGTACGTAATGTCGGGCGACAGGTAGCCTAGGTGCTGGAGCCAACTTGAAGTGCTGGAAAGCCGGGGGTCTTGAGTTGCTGAGGAAGAGCTGAGTAAGGTCTTGGTGATGAGCAGCTCGCGGAGACAGTACTGGATTCGGACTGGCGTTGGAACGGGCGTTGATTTCGACGACGGCCGGCCGAGGGATTCGAGCGAACGCTGGAGGGAGGGCAATGCGATCCACGAGCAACGAGCAACGTCGCGGATATATAACAATGCTGTTGCGCGCCAGCAAGGCGTCTCAGCCATCTGCGCGTAATCATTACCTTGCTCTTCGGCCTGCCCGCCAGCCGCTCGCGCGAGTCAATGTCTCCACACATCATTGACCTTTGCCCGGGCGGCTCAAATTCGCCCCCAATCTCTATCTTCACCATGCAGTGATGTGAGGCTAAAGCTGACTGGTCTCTATATCGCAGGTGATACGGACGGTTGGCGGAAGGGGTTGCACGTGCTGACGTGAGATTCTGCTGTGTTACCGACAAGTGTGATCTCACCTTCACATCGCGTGTTTAACGACAAAGCTGCAGCTTGAAATCGCAAATCATGACCATGGATGCACTATCCGTAGTGGATGCAGTCACCCCACGACCTAAATCATTATATGTACGGCAGGTGACTATAGAAGAAACCATGCATCCGTAGATCAAACAGTAGCCGAGACCCTGTTCTCATCTCATCCCGCCTTTCTTCCCATACGGCTTCAACTCTATCAAAACTTGGCATCGCTAAACGGCACATATTTCTCCTGGCTCGCATCTTCGACCTTCTTGGCTGCTCTTTTGTACGAATCCGTTTGCTGTAACCTCCTCATGTACTTGTACAGAGTGGGGTAGTTTGTGTCACTCAAAGGCACGCGCTGGCAGGCTCCCTCAAGCGCAAAGTGGATCATGATATCCGCTGCGGTAAGGCTGGAGCCGCAGAAAAATTCTCCCTTCGAGGGAGACTTGATGAGGTAATCTTCCAAGAAGTCGAAGTGTGTCTTCAACTCTGGATCTACAAAGGAGCCGTCGACTTTAGCGGCGACGCCACCAGTGATGGGCTTGAGGAAGAAGGGAACGGGAGCGTGCTTGATACCTACATGGTGTCAGCAAAATAACGCGGGAGAGATGTGTGTTCGACGGAGACTTACTGCCGCTGATAATAGCAGCGATAAGGACTGTGAACAGACTGCCTTCGGTGAAGTCCATGAGAAACTACGTGGTGGTCAGTTATCATGCTATTACAAGTCACGTGAAAGAATTGCAGAAGAAGATGCAGAGGCACCCGGATACACCAACCCCTCCAAACCTCTCTTCCATAACAAGGTAACAAGAAAAATTCGACAGCAAGTAACGCACCTTGTACCTCATCCACTCTTCCGTCTCTGCGCCAAGCACGCCCTCCTGGCCCTCGGGGTACCTCGCAGGAACCAACTGCTTTCCAAAATGGTCGCAAATGTACTCCATAATGGTCTCACTCTCGGCAATGACAATATCCTTCTCAGAATTTGCCGGTCTAATGGTAACCACTGGAGATTTTCCCAAGGGGTGGACGGCCTTCAGATCAGGACCTGCGCGCTTGTTGGCATCGCGCTTGTAGACCTTGATGTTGTATTCGAGATTCAGCTCCTCGAGCAACCACACGATGCGCTGGCCGCGCGACTTGTTCAGCCTGTAGTACAGTTAGACAGAAATTCTTTAGATTACATGATGTGTCGTGCTTGACGATGCGCAAGGGAATTGCGCCGGGACATGTTCTCCACGCACCAATGAACTGTGATGGTTGCGCCTTGTTGGCTCGACATTGCTGCAATTACGCTTCGTGAAGAGGATGTAAATTCGTTTTGATTAGTGTTCTGGAGCAAGGCAGATTGGGACTTTGAGCGGAGTGGACTTTTATAAGGTCGGTCGCATGTTATCACCGAGGCTTGTCCACAAGCTCGTTGTGGTTTCGTCACAAGCTTCGGCGCTCAGCCCACCAAGGGTAGACTGCCCGCCCGAGAAGCGTCGTCTGAATCGGATCTTGTATGTTCCGACGAGGCGATAGAAATTACAGTTCTATACAAGACTGCCCGTCTAAGAGCGTCTTATGTGCACAGAAATATAGGATGGGCAAGATGCGGAGCTGTGACGACAGAGTCACTCAGAGTATGCAGCACACGTTCATCGTCATAGCTATAGTAACGATCTTCCAAATACGCCATGCGCAAAACAGTAGATTACACTCTATGTTATGTTCTCTAGTTACTGTGTAATCCTCCAATTGCGATTATCAGCGTGGAACCGCATCAATCCTCTCGCAGGTACAATCCAAAAACGCCAAGACATCACGGCCCTCGCCGCACCCGCCGACCTCATCGCAAGCGCACCTCTACAAACCAACAACCTCACCCACCGCGCACCTCTACAAACCAACAACCTCACCCACCGCGCACCTCTCCACACCGCGCAAACTCCACAATCATGCAGCCTACACTCCGCCGGATGGCCGGCCATAATCACGGCAGTACGCATCTACCCCCAAAACCACGTATACGAGACGCAATGGACTAACAACCACACCCAGTGATCCACGCGGATCCCGCCATCATCAAATGGGCCAGTACGTTCCACCCCCTTGGACCCCTCCAACCCTATCACGCACTCCTACCTACCTTTACCGAAGCCTCGGGAAACACAATGCCAGCTTAGCCACCGTCAATGGCGCAGGCCTATCACAGTTACTAACACAGCAACCTAGCCATGACCACGAACCGCCACAAGTACTTCCGCTGGACACGACGAACAGCCTGGATTACATTCGCATACGTTGCCTTGGTACCGGGTTTGCTGGGTGCTGCGGGATACTGGGCTGAGGTGAGTTCGAGGATGCATGCAATGGCATGGGATGTGGAAATAGGAAGGAAGCTGATGATTTTGAATAGGGAAGGTGGGAGATGCGTGGTAAGCGAAGGGGTGATACTATCTCTGAGTTTTAAGTAAGGGAGAGATTGGGGGGAAGAGAGCAAAGGAAGGAGAGAGGGAGGAATGATGATGCGTTGCCACTAGAGCGGTGGGGTGTGTATATTCAATACGAAAGAAGTACTCTCGGAAGTTTTTGAGGGGTTTATACGGGTTGTGTTGTCTTTGTGGCCAAGATTTGTGTTTGTACTAACCTGCCACTGTAGACGATGCTTTTAGCAGGAGGATAGTGGTAGCAGCGATACTGCAATGCTAAGAATGAATAGTCAATGATAGGCTGATGGGTTCCCCGGCCTCTCATATCACCACCTTCGCCGGAAACTCCTACACTGTCACATCAATTCCAAGGAACTGCTTAGTGCACAATCTTTGCAAAATGTGCAAGCCATCTATAAAAATGAGTGTAGATTTGTCTATCGCTATCGCTAGCAGAATTCTAAATAACAAAAAAAATCCAAAAACAACAGTCTGTGTATGACAAACGAAATCCCCTGATTTATATCCAGTCTTTCCTTCTAAACCAACGTCTATACTACCGCTACTGCTGCTACTGCCACCATCACCACCTTCTTCTCCAGTTCACCAAGTCCTCACTTCACGACTAAACCTTAGTACGCACTAGAAGCCGCAGGATACGCCGACTGCGTACCCGAAGGATGAGAAGCAGACGAACTAGTCTCAGCCTTGTACGGGATACCGCACCTCTTCGCACAACTCTCCACAATCTCGGTGAAATCACTCGTAAGCGTGGGCCTGAGTCCCGCAATCTGCTGAGGAGTCAAGAACTCAGAGTATCCCGCACTTGCCTCGAGCACCTCGTCGGGTGTCGCGGAGAAGAAACCACGTGCAGCTTCGACGCGACCGGGATCGGCGTTGTCGAAACCGGCGACGAAGACGGCGGGTTCGCATTCTGGGTTGAATTGCCAGTGGACGAGACCCTTGGGGAAGAGCATGCCGGTGTAGTTGGAGAGGGTGGTTTCGATTTGCGTGTAGGGACCGATAATGGGGGGTGCGCCGCCGACGACGTGGCCGAAACCTGAGTCGTTTTCGAGGAGGATGGCGCCGAGGAGTTTGCCTTGGACGACGGTGAGGAATTCGTTGGAGCGAGGGTGCCAGTGCGGGGTGTTGAGGCCGCAGGGGTTGACGAAGCCGACGGCGGCGGCGAGGCCGGTGGAGGCGAGGGCGGGGAAGTTGTTCACGGTGGAGAGGAAGATGGAGCCGCCGGTTGGGGGAGTTACGGTGTTGTTGATGAATTGGAAGGTGTCATTTGCGGCGTTGGGGGCGTTGGGGAAGAGGATAGCTTCGCGGGCGGTTTCGGATTGGGCGAGGAGGAGCGCGTTGCGCTGGGTGGTGAGTTGTTCGGCTGTAAGAGCGTTGACGGTGTTGGGGTTGATGAGGCGCTTGATAGCGGGCTGGCGGGCTTCTCCTACTGGAGAGGCGGTCGCGGCTGCCATCAGGAGGGAGAGGATGGAAAGGGAGAGCATCTTGTGTTGATGTTAGGATGAGAGATTGTTGTAGTGGTTGATAGAGAAGTGAAGAGTGTGGTGGGATATCTGAAGCTGGAGTAGGCCCTCCTTTTATCTTCTTCTTCTACCTTTCGGATATACTCCTTGAGAGTTAGCATTCTCCTTCCTCAGTGTCGTCACAAGGAAGGCGTATGCCTTGTCAAGCCACAGCTGATTACAGTATCCACACCAACTGGCACTTCTCATCCACAGATACTTGAACAAGTCTCCAAATCTGGTAGATTTCTCGTTGTACTAATCAGCATAATGGGGGGGGGGGGAACATATCATCAGGTTCGTTGTGCTTTCCCTTATTCAGTTGAAGACGGGCGAGCGAGGTCACTAGACCATGGAATGTGGGTGTAGGCACTCCATAACGACGCGTATCGTGGGCATCAATAAGCGTTGGTTGTTGAAAATCGCTTGTAAATGGCTCGCCATGCCTTGTCATCGGTGCCACAGTCTTCGAAACCGAAAGGATGCCTTGGATTTTCTTGGTATGCATCAATCCTGCGGAAGATCGTGATAGAGATTTAGCACCTTGCTGTATGCCAACGTAACTTCTCCAGCATCCTTAACTCCATATTTCCGAAGTGAGTGATGAGCAAAAAGGGAGACACGACATTATCTCCGCGATATGACGATGAATCGATACATCTTACTCCAGTTGGTAGTCAGTGCTTTGAACTAAGCCTTCGTGGCCCGGGCTTGGATTGCTTCAACATACTTGACATCTGAGCTATTGTCAGAGTAGTCAGTAGATGAGACATTTGTCTCTCGGCCGATTTTTCTCTTCTAGGAATCTTTGAGTATACACCTTCTGACTCATAGTCTGAGCGTCTGGTGTGCACAGACTGTGAATATCAGGCCCATCGGCAATCTCCGAACCTGTTCACTGACCCAGCTGCATATAACAGGTTTAGTGGTGAGCTTCTTTGAGGAAGAAAGCAAATTTCCCAAACCTCGGGGCCGAGACGGTCCGTTGATTGTAGTGTCGGTCATCTAACCTCGATATAGATGCCAAGGGAGGAAGACGGCCGTAACCAGCGAGCAAGATGTGCTTGGCTAGCTGTATAAGCACATCAAAAAAGCTTATAGCCGTCTTCTACTTGAAAGAATGCCACTTTGGCAGTTGATGGGTGTCACATTAGTTGCCAAGAGCGGAGTACTGTTCTTAGGAGGAAGCGTGGGAATCCTCGTAATCAAGCCTTTGTCTTGGCCGTGACGTTACCTGCCCAGGCACTCTCCGTACCCTCCACCCAACATCTCACGCTGGCGCCATAAGCACGCCCTACACATGGATTCTCTACAGCAACTCATAATTGCGTGCTCATCCTGGTATGGCGGTGTGATCACACGCTTCCGCGATGACTATGTATGGTCATGTCGAGTCTTCTGACGCGGTCGTGCATACCCATGCTCTTGAGGGATGCCTTCGGGTCAAGAAGAGGCTGAGAGCATGCAGAACCACTTAGGGTCATGGTGCGGTCCGAGCGGCCCGAGATGGTGCTGTACCCGTGATGCTCAACTGTTGGTAACAGCCGGATTTTAGCACTGTCGATCCTTGTAGTGATTTTAGTAGCAACTCCACCCGAAACTATATTTATCGGAAAACTACAGAAACACCTGGAAAATGTTCAGTGATAATCACGACGATGCTCGGATTCTTTTCCGTCGGGGCTGAGGTAGGTTTGCCACGGAATCAAAAATGAGGCTTTTTTATTATCGTAGTCCCTTGTTGGTAGGTGAGTTTGGATTGAGCATCATGCATACGTGAGATGTACGAGCAAGTGGGGTTGGTTGTGGCTGAACTACTCTTCTGTAAGCTAGGTCTTATACTTCTCCAGCCACAGAGACAGAGCTTGGAGACCAGATGACCATGAAATGACGAAAAACTTCTTCCGCCACTTGAGAACGACTCTTGAGGTCCTCTTTAAAACCCACTTATACGGCGCGGCTGCTCCGGGTCAAAGGTTCAACATGATGATGGAGTTTCAAGGTCAGTGCTTGCGACTGCTTCGGAAGGTATCTGCATTGAGTATGGAGTGGAGCTGTAGAGGCAGATTTTGCGCAATGTGATTCTAGCATCCGAATATCCGTTGGAACGTCTCTCAAAAGACAAAGATCAGATTACACATATGTGGCGTGCAAAGTGGCTTGAAGTAATCACAGAGGACATGAGTGTCGGGACCTTGCAAAGAACAGTTGTTCGCTACGCCGCCACGTGGCGATTTAATGAGGTGTTAGGCTTACAAAGCCTGGTGGCTTACATACATCACCAATGGCTCGCCACAGAGGATGTAGTGAAGAATGATTGATGTATTCTAATTGCTATCTCTAACCAAGCACCCATGATAAGTCTTGCCGTGAAGTTTAACTAGTACTACCTTACACGACGCTAGACGGTATCGCATCAACCCTGTAATCTACCCGTCTTTATGTAGCCCGATTTGGATTTCCATCAACAGTAACAGAGATTCCTTCATGAGAGTTGCTATATCTGCTCACTTTTCACTCTCTTGCTCCTGCTGCCAGGCCTCCAGCCACTTGCACTTCTGACCGTCGGGCGCCCACTGCAACGGGCGCGTAACAGCCAACCGCCAGAAACCCATCGACTTCTCGCTGATCCTTGTCTCAGGGTCATGGAATGCATGTTCCAAAGCTTTGAAAAAGGCTTGGCATTCTTTCTGGAGATCCAGCACGCGAAGACAGCGGAGGATGCGCGTGAGGCGGAGGTGATTATGATCAAACAAGCCAGCCCAGTTCTGAAATTGTTTGCGCCAGTTAGGGGCGCGGAAAATATGGCAAGGCAGCGGATTGGAGACTGTGATGTTTTTGTGCGATCCAGGAGGGAAGGTGGACTCTTTTGGGGTTGTCTTGACCCCGGAAGCAGATGCATCTGCGTTGATGGGAGAGTCCGTATTTACGTCAGTCTGGGTAGCTCCAAAAATGGCGTCTTTCTCAGAGTCATTCTCTAGTGTCGTTGATAGGCTGAAGCCGTAGAACTTGAGCATGCGCTCAAAGCTCCGACGCAGCTGTTGGCGAAGTTCACTTCGCGAACGGAATGCTTGCATGACTGCGAGATCAATGACAGGTGCATCCCAGTTGAACATGGAGCCTTCTGGCAATGGAAATAGCATCTGAATGTAGTTGTGTGAGGACTCAAGCTGAGCATCTGGCCATGAAAGGATTTCCTCCAGTGTGCGATTTTTCGCATCTTTGGCTTTGATATTTGGATCATAGAAGCGAACGATGAGCTGGCTCCTGGCCTCAGCGGAGTCCTTTCCAATGTTGAAAGTCGCTGAAGGCCCCATATTGGAGCGCTTCTGTGATGTAGTAGGGACGTCTTGAGCCTTGCGCTTTGCGTGATTTTGTTCGACTGCGCCCGGCTGAGATGTTGATGTTGGTGCTAAGACTGTTGGCTGCGGTTGTACAGAGGAAGGAGTTTCAGGAGTATTACAGGAATTGGTGTTTGCAGCGGACTCCCCGTCATGGGCCTTATCGCCGGGTGTCCTTTCCATGTTTACTGCCAGTCAGGTGGCTTTAGGCAGCCGTGGTACTGATGTGTCTTTCCACTGCACCAAACAGACAGTACAACCAAGAACACAGTGAGAAAAATACTTCTCACGTTTCATACAAGCACAAGTATTTGCTACATGCCTCACACTGTCGAGTCGCACATTGCGCACCAAAGATGAGACGAGATAAAAGTAGTAACAGTGGCCCGGATGCATGCAGCTGCAAGACGCTAGCCTGTTGCAGCATAGTCAGTCTTTTTGACGGCTTCCCCTCCGGCTGTTCAAGCAGCGACGATCTTGCCCCAAAGTCTCCACCCACAACACTTCCATCGAGCTGACAGACACGTCCAGGGCACCATGTTCTTTTTTGCTTCTACTTGTCTACTTGCACACCGACAGCTGAGTTGTATGATTCATGGCAGTCCGCGGCATGGCAGCTTCGTGCAGGCTGACGTCACTGGTGCTGAATGTTGACAAGCACGGTCTCCACTCACATCTAGACCATTCACAGCGCTCGTGTCTCATTCTTGATAGCTAGCACAGCCGAAGGAGTCAACAGACAAACCTGCTCAGCCATGGGCCCATACAGGGTATTCGCCCGCTGTGAGCCGCAGTGGGTATAAAAGTAAAGGATATGAGCGAGAAGTATGGCTCTGTCGAATTTTTCCGGTGGACTTGAAAACTTTCCGCAGACATTGACCTGCTCGGCCCAGCTGAACGATTACGCTGTCCATCGATCATCGGGAAATCGTACAACACAGCACACCTCGAGTCTAAACCGACAAGCGCATCCCTGACAATGGGTTCAGAAGGTGAGTCAAGTCGAGTGACAGTTCCTCCTCTGATTGGACTGCTGCGATGCTCACCACTGAACAGAACAAAAGCCAACGCCTGAGAATGGCACACTGTTCCAGGGCTTCGAGTGGAATGTCCCGGATGATCACAAACACTGGAAGCGTCTCGCTGAACAGCTCCCTAAGCTCAAAGCGATTGGTATCACTAACATTTGGCTACCTCCGGGTTGCAAGGCCGCGAATCCGAAGGGTGTGGGCTACGACATCTATGACCTATACGATCTGGGTGAATTTGATCAGAAAGGCGCCAAAGGCACGAAATGGGGAACAAAGGAAGAGCTATTGGAGCTCGCCAAAGTTGCCAAGGAACATAATGTTGGCCTTTACTGGGATGCCGTGTTGAATCACAAGGCGGGTGCAGATAGGACAGAGAAATGCCGCGTTGTGGAGGTCGACGAGAACGATCGAACAAAGGAGACATCGGATGCCTACGAAATCGAGGGGTGGCTAGGATTCGACTTCCCAGGACGCGGTGAGCAGTATTCCAAGATGAAGTACCACTGGGAGCACTTTTCTGGAACCGACTACAACCAGGCCAACGAGAAGAAAGCCATCTACAAGATTCTGGGCGATAACAAGGGCTGGTCGCAAAGTGTGGACACGGAATCCGGCAATGCTGATTACATGATGTTTGCAGACATTGACTACTCGCACCCTGAAGTTCAAGAAGATGTCAAGAACTGGGGTGTCTGGATAACCAAAGAACTCGGACTTAAGGGATTCCGCCTCGATGCTGTGCAGCACTTCAGCTCCAGATTTACCAACGAATGGATGAAGAACCTCCGTGAGCAATGCGGAGACGACATCTTCATTGTGGGCGAGTTCTGGTCGGGCGATGTGAAAGAAATGAGCGAATGGCTCGACGGCATGAACCACGAAATTTCCCTTTACGACTCTCCGTTGCTTAACAAGTTTGGCTCGCTATCCACGACGGAATCGGCCGATCTAAGGACAGTGTTTGACGATTCACTGGTCCGGCTGCGGCCGATAGATGCTGTGACGGTTGTCACTAACCACGACACGCAACCGGGACAGGTCATGGAGACCAAGATTGAGGACTTCTTTAAGCCGCTTGCATATGCACTGATTCTGCTGCGACAAGAAGGATACCCATGTCCGTTCTACGGTGATCTGTACGGACTGTCGGAGCCCCACGAAACACCGGCGTCGTGCGGTGGCAAGCTTGCAGACCTTATCCTGGCGCGTAAGCTGTTTGCATACGGAGCGCAGGAGGACTACTTCAACGAGGCCAATTGCATTGGGTTCGTGCGCCGTGGGACGTGGGACAAGGTGGCGGGTCTTGCATGTGTGATGAGCAATGCGGGGCCAGGGCAGATCAAAATGGCGGTTGGCGAGATGCACGCCGGGGAGAAGTGGAGCGACGTGCTTGGATGGGAGCAGGGCGAGGTGGAGATTGACAGCGAAGGCTACGGAGTGTTCAAGTGTCCGGGCACGAGCGTCGCGGTGTGGGTGCGAAGTGATGCTGAGGGACGTGAGCAGTTCCCCACCAACTTGGATGCGGATGTGTATGGCCAGGGATCGTCTGCGTAATGGTTGCGCTGGAGGGTGTACGAGTAGGGTAGTTGAATCACGGCGATGGTGGGCTATGACGCAAGTTCACCCACCCTCGTGTGCCAGATACGCGTGTAATGACTGACATTATATCATTTGAAAAAGAAGACATGGCGTGATGCGCTGTCGTCGCCCTCAGCTCCCAGGTTGTTAGCTGCTGGAAGATGCGCGAAAGTGCGTGGGGCAGCAGACAGGGCTAGCACCCAAGACAGCCAATCATCCGCCTCACAACAATAGCCGTTTTGGACGTTTCGCGGCCTTTCTGGCAAGCGAGTATGCGACATCCCGCGAAGCATGATCGACTGCCGACGCCGTCAGAATGCTCTGTGTACCATGCACATGCTCGCACTTTGCGCCCGCGACACCGCCAACATGGGAGGCCAACGGCCCCGTCCTGCCGGACATGAAGCCGCATGTGCCATGTGATCCCCGCTATCGCTCTGTCTAGATCTTGGGTCGCGTGTCAGGCTGCCGAGCTTCAATTTAACTCCGCGCCTGCCCGCTCTTCCTCCCTCTGTTTACCCTGCCGACGACCCGACGCAAGCAAATCTTTCACTGACCTCTCCCTCTGGACGCTGTGCTTCTTTCCCCTCAACTTCGCCCAGATTCACTACTAACAAGCGTCTTCTTGCCCACTTCTCATGTCATTGATCCAGCATGTTGGCCAGCAGGAGGGCACTGACCGCGACGAGGCGCTCGTAGATTTGTTTCTACCGCCCATTGACCGCCAGCATAGCCGTCAAGATGCTGCTGACCGCCGTATGTCGCTTGAAAGCGCCATGTCGCATGCCGGCTTCCTCAATCCCCACGGAAAGGCAATTCGGAGGGTCATCAGTTACGATGTGATTCCCAATCCCGACGAGCCTTCCGCAGGCGAGGAGCCGGGAGGTCTGACACCTTACAAAGTGTCCACAACGAAGCGTGTCGGTAAGTATTGCTACTTTGGGTAACCGTAAAGACAAGTCGAGCTCGACTAACCTTGCTTGTAGCACAGGTCATTGCAACGGTCCTCGCCTGTTGGTTTGCCAGCGGCATCGTCTTTGGCTTCGCGGCACTCAAGCCAATTCTCATCAAAGAGGGTGTTTTCCGCAATCTCTGCACTCCCGAGGAAATTGACAATGATGTCGAAGTCTGCTTTGAGCAGGATCTCCGATTGAACTTCTTCTTTTCGCTGGCGTCCACTACTGCAAACGTATCTGCCCTGCCAGTCGGCACACTGCTCGACCGCTACGGCCCCAAGCTCTGCTTTCTTACCGGTTCATTATGTCTTGCTGCTGGCAGCATCCTGATGAGTTTTGCTTCCCAGATCCAGCGCTTTGAAGGCTACACAATTGGCAATTTCTTCCTTGCCTTGGGGGGCACATTTGTCTTCTTACCCTCTTTCCAGATTGCTAATGCATTCCCCAAGTACAGTGGCTCCATCGTTGCACTCGTCACTGGGGCATTTGACGCTTCAGCAGCAGTCTTTCTCTTTTACAGAATCATGTACGATGCCAGTGACAGGACCTTCAAGCCAGAGACATTCTTCTTGGTGTATCTGGTCGTCCCACTCGCAATCGCCATTGCCCAACTTACCTTCCTGCCGACCGAGAACTACAAAACTGAGGCACAGCTTGAGATGAAGATCCAGAAAGCTGAGGATGTTATGCGCGATGTGCACTCCTCGGATGACGAGCTGTCAGATGAGGAGATGTGGAGGCGCCGAAAAGCCCGTAGCGAACGCCGCAAGGAACGACTGAGCAAGCTCGACGACCTTGTTGGCAACGAAGCTGCGCGCAAACTCCGAGAAGAAAAGCGAGAGCAGAATCTAGAGACCTCTGGTGTCTGGGGAGCACTGCACAACAAGTCTGCCAAAGACCAAATGCTGACGCCCTGGTTCATTTTGCTCGTCCTTCTGACTATCATCCAGATGGTGCGCATGAACTACTTCATCGCAACTATCCGCGAGCAGTACACGTACATGCTCGGCTCCGTCGAATTGGCAGAGAAGGTGAACAATTTCTTTGATGTTGCGCTCCCACTTGCCGGAGTACTTGCTACCCCCTTCCTTGGCATCCTGCTTGACAACGTTAGCACCGCCGGCGTCCTCTTTCTTATCGTCGTCATGACTACCGCCATTGGCATCATTGGTTCAATACCTACCCTATGGGCTGGTTACGTCAATGTCGTCCTGTTCGTGTTTCTGCGCCCACTCTATTACTCAGCCATGTCAGACTACGCTACCAAGGTGTTTGGCTTTGCTACGTTTGGCAGGGTATATGGCACCATTATCTGCACATCTGGACTGGTCAACCTTTCGCAGACGGCTATCGACGCATTGACCAAGAGCCTATTCGAGGGCGACCCGACTCCTGTGAACATCTTTTTCGCAGCCTCGGCGTTTGTAGTCGGTATGTCGCTGGTCGTGTACGTTTCAGTCCAGGTGTATCGCATGCGCAAGAAGTTGGATCACGATGATGCAATGACATTTACCAACACCGATGCTGGCTCGGTCATGGAAAGCTTGATGGAAGAGGATGAGCCGAGGAGCTACGGAGCCATCCATCGTCCCCGTCAGCCCTGGGAAGTCTAAATTTCCAACTCTTACCATTTTTATCCGGTTAATTTTCCTATCGACTTTGATCATCGCTACGATTATGACTCGAGTACGGCCGTCACCACATTGAGATGTGTGTTTTCTTTCTCTGCAAGTAAAAAGGGTCGAAAATCTTTCTCTGCATGGGGCGTTTGTTTTCCTGAGGGCATCCGATAAGATATTTTCATAAGCGTTGTTTTGTTCATGGTCATCATCAAGCGAGCGTTGTACCGAGTTTTCGGGTTTCATGTTTCGATCTGCTCTATCATGTTTGCGTCTGCCAGTCCTTTGTAGACTAGATTGATATTTGTAGAAGTTGTCGCTGTTTGCAGAACCCTATCAATAATATTCTTATCAGCGTCTACCACTCTTTGCAATTTCGCTCTTAGGGCCTAGAATCTTGGAAAAAGACTTGAGCGATCTAACAATATACAGCTGACGAGAGCATATCAAAAATATTCTTGTATTAGTGGCATCTTAACATGGATCTGCATGGGGATATATCCCATCTGTGATTAGTCTTTCATGCAAGATTAGAATGGCTTAATTCCATTGTCTTGTTCAGCGGAGTGGATCGGGGCAAAAAGTTATTCTCGCAAATTCTGAAAAAGACGTACAGAAATCAGACCATCACACCCGAAACCGTGTAATGTAGGACAGATAGAATTTGTGTTGCTTAGTGCATCATACACTGATTGCAGGAATCCTCAAAGGAGACATGTCCATACAGGCATTTTCGAACAGGCTTTGCAGCTGTCTGGTCGAGTAATTGAACATCTTGTCTTTATCATGCGTTCCCAGACTATCTTCAATCAGGGAGAAAAAGGGTCTACACTGCACAAGGTACCCAAGAGAAATATGTGTTCGGGATGCCCAGTTCAGATGCAGGGAACGAATGACGCGGGGTTTGCAAGATGAGATGGTCCGTGCGGGTTGCTACGGTACAGGGAAGTAGCGTTGGATGACAGCCAACTAGTGCTATTTACACTCGGTCGTCTACGCTCGCACCACCACACATCACATTATCGCGCAGCACATCTTCCTTAGGGCACCAAACTTTGTGTCGAGTTTGTTTTCGGAAAAAAAGAATTCTCTCCTCAGACATACATAACCCTTCAATACCGTCAAGTTGGCGCGCCTCAAAGAATCCCCGGTCCAGCTGGATCCGCCTCTGCCCGTCTCACCAAACAAAATGGCTTTCTCCCCTGGAATGCCCGTCTTCCCCGCCAGCCCCGACCGTGGTGGTGCCATGAAATCGCTATATGGCGACTCTGCAAGTGCATCACCCGTCATGTCCCCATCAACACCGCCACTTCGCACCCACTCACCGCTACGACACACCCACCGTCGAACCGATTCGGACGTCTCCGTCACAGCTCTTACCGGCATGTTTGAGAACCTCGAAGTTAAGGACCCAAGAGAAGCGTCCAGACGCTTCAAGGAATTGCTAGAAAAGGAAAGGATGAGAAACGCAGAGAAGCTGGCCAAGATGGAAAAGGAGCATGCGAAAAAGGAGAAGGAGCACGAAATGGCAATTAGCCGGCGTGACATTCGCATCGAAGAGCTGAAGAGCGAACTTGAGCATGCTAGTGGCTCGCTCGAGGTTGCTATTACAAAGGAACGCTATGAGAAGGAACGCAAGGCGAACAAGGCTGCCATTAACCAATGGGAGACTGTGTTTAAGCAGAACGAAGAGCGATGGAAGGGCATGCAGCACAAGATGGTGAGTTTTGCTTACACGTTTGGCTGATTACATGAATCTCACACTGTACAGATTGAAGCCGAAAACCAGAGCCGAGTCTTCGAGGGCAAATACAAAAGCTACAAGAAGCAGTGGATCGAGGCGAACAACGATAAGCTCCGACATTCATCCATGATTCCACAGCTCCAGTCCAAGATCCAGACCCTTCAGCGTAATTTGCAGCGGGCCGAATCAGATGTCAAGTTCAAGACTGAGGAAGCTGCTAAATACAAGAACGACGTCTACAGCTTGCAGGTCGAAGTCGAAAGCACCAACACTCGCCTCAGCGAAGAGTTGCAGGCACTTAAGGAAAAGTTGAGCCTGGTTGAGGCAGAACGCGATGCTCTCAAGACCAGTCTCAAAGAGGAAGAGGTCTTACGTATCGCTGCCGAGGGCCAGATACCGCTACCCTCCGCCGAGGATGACGAACGCGACGAATTCGCCTCACCAGTCCGATCCCCACGCAAGCAACATAACAACTCTCGCCAGGATGATGACAAGGAAAACGTCTCACCGAAGAAGGGTGCAGTCGAGCTGAGGTTCATCCAGCAAGAGCTAGCTGCAGAAAAGCGCGCCCGCGAACGTGCTGAGGAGCAGATTGACTACATGAAGATGGAGTGCCAGTTCCAGTGCTGCTCATGCCGCATTGCCGAGACCAGGGGCAAGCAATTCGTTCACGATGACTCTCTCCAAGCCGAAATGCAGCGTATCAAGTCAACATTTACACCTCCAGCTAGCAACCATGAAGACGATGTCATGGAAGATGTAGTCATGAAGCAAGAGCCTGGTGAAGCTGAGCGTCCCATCACGCCAGTGGCTGAACAACCCGCCCAAGAGCCAGATACTGTTGTTGCTTTCTCGCCAGTAACAGGTACTTTCCGCTCTGTGCCTTCCCCAGTCAAAGCACAGTCAACAGCCGTCCCGCCCGAGCCATCACTTGTAGTGGAGATGAGTGAGGCACCGCCGATGGATCTTGAGACAAGAGCCATGCCACCTCCTGCTGAGGTCTCTCTTCCAGAGTCTCGTCCAGCGTCTCGCGTAGCTTTTGTGCGAGAGAGTCGCAAGGGCAAGTCAGCAGATATCAACATTCACGAGGATGCTGTTGAGGACAGTGACGACGACGATGCGTCCCCAGCAACTCAAGAACCCGAGCCTACTGGTCCTGTTACACCCTACCTTACCCGCACCATTACTACCACAACAACGATCCCACTACATTTCTCGCCCGCAACCCCGGCATTCAAGGCAGGCCGAGGCCCTATGACACCCTCGACTGTCGCCCATGCTGCAGCAGATGCTCAGACACCTGCCTTGAGCGAATTGTCATTGAATAAGCTGGGTATTGACCGGGAGGCTGCCCTTGCCGCCATCCGCGAACGACGCGGCCGCGCTAAGAGCATGGCTGCTGGCCAAGGAACGCCAATGAAACAGATGTTTGAGGGAGTGAAGGACCGGAGAGACATCAGTGCCCCTATCCCAAGGGTAAGGAGTGTGTCAAGGATGCGGAGCGTGTCAAGGGCGCAAAAATGATTGCCTAGATGATAAGCGCGTTGTGACGTTGGTGCCTGGTGTGCTGCCCAGGGCGCAGCGAGAGTCGTGATACTACTTGATTTCCCCGTTCGCGGCTTTACTTTGCGCTTAGCGGCATTGCATGGAGTTGGGGCTGCCACTGCTGCATCATTTGGCTGATTTGGCGTTTTGTTCTATATCTCTTATGTTTGTTTTGGGTAGGCTAAAACTGCGTTATATACCACAGTTATGCTTTACGGATGATGAATATATAGTATAGTTATTGTAATTTTTGATATCTGTTCACCCACTTTCGGAACACTGCGTTTGTATATGCTATTCTAGACATTGATGTGAGCGGAATGGCTGCAAGTTCTGAGCAGGGAATAGATAGTGTGTTGTCCGTGACAGTGCTAGGCAATTCCAACGGATGCCATCAGCATGAGAACAAGTCTGTGGATAATGTAGCGGAAGTAATTCATCCCATGATCTGGTACTCGGCTGTTTTCTCGCTAGCGGGTCGTGGCAGAATGCAAAGGCGGTCGGTGGTCTAGCGCCAAGGCGCGACTAGCGCACCATTGGCGAACACACACTAGCGAAATTCCCTTGTAGACACTCGCTCGAACTTCAGCGACAACGACTAAGACGCCCAACCCTCTTTCTCCCTCACACACCGACAAACGCAACCATGTCTGACAACGGAGAAATCGAGGTCGAGAACCCCACCGGTATCAACATCCTTCCCAAGGATGTCGCCGAGGAGCAGGGCAGCGTGAAGCTGTTCAACAAGGCAGGCACAATGCGAAAACTACAACGCGAAGCGAATCTAACACTTCACAGTGGTCCTACGAGGAGGTCGAAGTCCGCGACATCTCATTGACGTACGTTTCCCCTACCACGATCTTGCGCCGCACACATACATGAAGGAATATTGTGATGGCATTGGATTCTTTTTGTATTGCGCTGCGAGACCTTCGGCTAACTGAAGCCGCAGCGACTACATCCAGATCCGCTCTCCCGTCTACATCTCACACTCGGCCGGCCGATATGCTGTCAAGCGATTCAGGAAGGCCCAGTGCCCCATCATTGAGCGCCTCACCAACTCGCTCATGATGAACGGCCGCAACAACGGAAAGAAGCTCATGGCTGTGCGCATTGTTGCCCACGCTTTCGAGATCGTACGTCTACCCGCTCTAAAAAAAATCCAGAAATGCAATATTGGCAAGGAAAAGAAGAGTTGGTGCAAGATGGCTGACAATTGCAGATCCACATCATGACCGACCAGAACCCCATCCAGGTCGCTGTCGACGCCATTGTCAACTGCGGTCCCCGTGAAGACTCCACCCGTATTGGTTCCGCCGGTACCGTCCGTCGCCAGGCTGTCGATGTGTCTCCTCTCCGCCGTGTCAACCAGGGTATCTCCCTCCTTACCATTGGTGCCCGTGAGGCGTCTTTCCGCAACATCAAGAGCATTGCCGAGTGCCTTGCTGAGGAGCTGATCAACGCTGCCAAGGGAAGCAGCAACTCGTACGCCATCAAGAAGAAGGATGAGCTCGAGCGTGTCGCCAAGTCCAACCGATAAGGGCGTGCATTCTGTGTATGTGTGTGCATGGTGTCTCTGGATGGAGTTCTTTCGAATGGCTGTTCTGGTCGGATTTTGATCGGACGGGATTGGGGGATCTTATGCATGACATGGCTTCTCTAGGTGAATAAGACCTCCTCTTTCATGGTTGCATGACAAAAAATGGACAATACGATACCAAATTCAAAGCAATTCGACTTTGTTGCGTGCAGGGTGATGTAGGTCCCCCGAAAGGAACATGTTTTTCCTTTAGCGGAGAGACTGGAGTATTGGTGCATACTGTGTAGGATACAGTAGTGCACCCACCAGCCTTTGATGTAGTCAACGATGGTAGAAATATTGTATCATGAATCCGTCTAATGGGGTATTATCCTTCCTTTTTTTTACAGTACTTTTGAGTCCGATGAAAAGAAGAAGAAAAAGAAAAAAAAAGGCCCTTTTGTTCGTTATAGCCAATTGCTTTCACGCCTCTACGCCCTGCAGTACCACGTTTTGCAGGATGTTTCCAAAATCCTCAAAGGCCACCTTACCGCCGTGTTCCTGGCCGAAGCGCTCCGCCTCAGCATATGCCTTGTCCATGATCTGCTGATCAATGAGAACGAGCCAGTCCCTGCCGGTGAGCATGACAGTCCTCCCTTCTGTCGTCAACTGGCCCAGTAATCCGGATGCCCTGACCAATCTCTCCACCCACACTCTATCTTTGCCTTCCTTCCACGCCGCCTCGACCAAATCCACACATCCGGCCTCTTCAATCCTATTCTTTACATAACTAACCACGCGCTCCCTCCTCTCCGCCTCTTCGTCCGCCTCCCTCTCGCGTTCCCTCTTCAGCGCCTCCCGCTCTTCTCGCTCCTTTGCCCGAATCACCTCCTCAGCCGCAGCCCGACGCTCTCGTTCGAGTGCGAGCGCCGCCTCGCGCTCCTCGCGGCCCTCGTCTTCTTGTCGACGCCGGATCTCGGCTTCCTGGCGGAGCCACTCGTTGTACGCGCGCTGCTGGTCTCTGCGGGCGAGGGACTTTGCTTTTTTGGTGCCGACGGTGCGGTGGGTGGGGGTTGCGCGGGCGGGTTGTTGCGGAGGCGGGTTGGCGGGGCCTGGGGCGAAGGGGTCGCGGTGCTCGTCGTCTTCGACGTGGGCTTGGTGGCGGGGCGCTGGTGGTGGTGTGGGTGCGCGTGGTCGGGCAGCGCCGGGGGTGGTGTCGGGTTCGTCGTCGTCTTGGAAGACAAGGCGCTCATCTAGGGGTGGGTCGGCGGCGGCTTGTATGTCGCTGTTTGGGAGGTCGTTGTCGGGTTGATCTGTGGGTTCGTGCGTGTCTGTCTGGTCCGAAGGCGTGCGGTGAGCGCCTTGTTGGCGGGCATTGTACCATTCACCGATTTGCGGGGCAAAATATAGGGTTCCGCAGAGTATGGCTGTGTGTAATAGATCTTGCGATAGTGGTGTGCCGGCGCGGGTGAATGGGAGGAGGAAGTTGAGTAGGGTGAAGGGAAGGGATAGTATGGCCCCCATTTTCGTGGTTGTTTCGCTGTCTCCTTGACTTATTTCCAGGGGACAAAGTTTGGGGGTTGGAAATTTGTGTTGAAGCGACAATGTCGTTCCGGATGGATCGACTTGGCTCAAGGTCCCATGGAGAAAGTCGATTGAGATTCAGTTTACTGAGTACTTTTTTACTGTCCTGGAAATCGGCGAGGGGACGTGTAAACGTATTGGTGAGTGGCCATTTGTGTGAAAGTGAGTCTGGAGTTGATGATGCAACAGCGCCCTTCCGCTCGCAACGGCGGGAGTTTGGTCCGCTAGCGCCGCATTGGGACTAGCGCTCAACCTTGATGATTGCGCAGGTCAGCCATATCAACCAAGCATAACTTGCGAGATCTTTGCTACTCCTTCGGCTCTGGTCTTGACTATACCGTCTCTCAAGTTTATTGTGATAACAAAAAAAGATGAATTCCATTGCTAAATGCCTATACTTTGCGCACTGGTAGCAACGGGCTAACTTTCTTCCTTACGGCCGTAACTTCTGTTTCGCCTGTGGCACAATTTACACAATTGAGCAAAGGACATACCAGGCTTGCGCCCCGCATTCGCCCAATGCAGCTTAGGGGCTCGGAAAGAATAGCATTTTGGTCACAGTGACCGCCCGTTGCATAGACTTGCGGCCGAAACTAACAGCATCGGAGGTTTATTCCTCCATCCTCCTCTCAAACGTGTGGGACACCAGCCACAACTCAGCCGCCCGACCCGTAGTGCAGCGCCAAGAATCGCTCTTGTACGGTCGAAAGGGTTCACATTACATGCAATTCTGGTCCAGAAGTCGTTCATGCCACCAATTACCGATATTTGCGATATTTTTGTGATGTCTCAGAGATCTCTTGGGTGTGGGGAATAGTCACAATACCGGATTATCACCCGCAACCCTCACCAATCATGTTATCTGAGAAGCAAATCATCCTCAGAATCGGCGAAACAAGCGCTGAAGAACGCGACTGAGATGTATGCACTTGGCGTTGAGAGAGCGCATTACGGTCCATACTACGCCATACGCACGCTAGATGTCATGGCATCCCGGCGTCTCCGTTGAGGGGCAATGTAGAATCCACTTTCACAAGACTGTGGCATAGCTCACCTGATATGGCTCGTTATATATAAGAGCAATTCCCAGATGAAGGAACAGACGACATTCAGACAACAAACCATCCTTCAACACTACATTCACTCTCGGACTATTCAGAGTGAACATCTTGAGCCAGTTTCATTTCAAGTACAACCTTCATCTCCTTTTCAGCTCTAATCTACCATTTCACTTTAAGTCTTTTACTACCGATCAAGTCGACCCCGACCTCTTTTCTAGACATAGCCCAATATGGTCGTCGCAACAACTGATGTCTGGCCTAATACTGCTGGCTTCGACACGGATTATCAAGAGCACGAACCCGTCGAGCTCGCCGTTCACGGTAACATCCCACGATATGCTGCAGGTGTTCTTTACAGGACAGGACCTCTGGGCTTCAAGGCGAAAACAGACGATGGCAAAATATGGGCAGCAAAACATTGGTTCGATGGCTTCTCCTGCGTCCATCGCTTCCAGATCGACTTCCCGGATGGTAGCAGTACTCCCAAAGTCACTTATCGATCCAGACGTACAGTAGACGAGTACATCAACATGGTTCGCACCACCGGCAAGCTTGAGACTGCGACTTTCGGTGCGAAGCGCGACCCCTGCGAGAGCTTCTTCCAAAAGGTCATGAGCATATTCGTACCCAAGCTGAAGAACGAGAAGAACGTTGGAGTGACTCTATCAATCAACATGCCTGGAAGCGAAAAGGTTGCCCGTGGTAAGCCACTCGAGACCAGCAATCATACCAGTGGCATAAAGACGCTGTGTGCGAAGACAGATTCTAGCGCTCTCAAGTTGATTGATCCTGAGACTTTGGAGCCAAAGGAGTATGCTCGCCAATCCGCCCTCCACCCAGACCTCAGAGGGCCCTTCTCCGCCGCGCATGCAAAGTCCGACCCCAACACGGGCGACATGTACAACTTCAATCTCGAGTTCGGTGCTCTTGGTTGCACATATCGCGTCTTCCGCGTATCGGCGGCCACAGGAGAAACAGAAATTCTTGCGACCTTCCCCGGTACACCAGCATACATTCACTCTATTTTCCTGTCTGAGAGCTATGTCATTGTCTGCGTTTGGAACTCTCACATCACATGGAACGGCATTGGGCTTCTGTGGCACAAGAACATTGTCGACGCCATTGCTCCTTTCGATCCCAACTCGAAAGCCCGCTGGTACGTCGTCGATCGCAAATCAGACAAGGGTCTGGTTGCAACCTTTGAGAGCGACCCTTTCTTCTGCTTCCATAGCATCAATGCCTGGGAAGAACCGTCTGCCTCTGATAAGAGCAAGACCGACGTCATTGTGGAACTGAGCATGTTCGAGAACCTCGACGTTGTAAAGCGCTTCTACTATGACAACATCATTTCCTCCATCGACACACCAGAATTCAACGGCGAGAAGCGCATGTCTTGTCTCCCCATGCAGACACGATTCCGCCTCCCCAGCGTCGACGCCGGTTTGCCTCCTACAACACCTCTGCCAGCTGAACTTGTATTTAAGGCGGAGAAGTTCAACTCCATGGAACTCGGCACCATCAACCCAGCCTACCTCCTTCGTCCCCACCGCTACACCTACGGCTGTGCTGACCGTCTCCGATCAACCTTCTTCGACGGCATCGTCAAATTTGATAACCACACGATGAAGTCTATCTTCTGGGAGGTGGAAGGTCACACGCCCGGTGAGCCAATTTTCATTGCTGATCCAGAGGGCACCGAGGAAGACGACGGTATTCTGTTGAGTGTAGTACTTGACGGATACAAGGAGAAGAGCTACCTACTTGTCCTCAAAGCAAAGGACCTGAGCGTCTTGGGCAGAGCAGATATGCATGGACCTATGAGCTTCGGATTCCACGGCACATTTGGTGGTGCGGGAGCGAAATACAGGGGAGACATCTAAATCGCGGGGCTTATTTTTTCAAAAACCGTAATCTGTTTTATTTGGGGAAAAAAAAATATATATCTAGAACGTAATCACCACCTATCTCACCAATTGATTTGCAAATTCAACCGTTCTCCTCCCCTCCCTGCCCTCCTCCACCTATCCACACCAGTGAATCTCACATCCACCAATTTATTTCTCAGGCTCACGATCCAAAACAGGGACGATGAAGTTGCCGGTATAAGGACGAAGATCCTTTCCGCCATTGACCTTGATGTCAACCTTGTGGTTTCCCGTCGCGACCAACTTGGCTGGCTTGGTAATGCACTGGCGCATACTGAAGACTGTTTTTGCAAAAGAATTTTCGTTAGCCAAGCTATTCTTTATCTCCATCTCATCCCCATCCCCGAACCAAAAACACACACACACACAGAAGAGATGAAGGGAGGAAAGGGGAGAACTTACTCTCAGTCTGATTATCGTATGAATAAGTAAGCGAGTTGGGCGTGCAGACGGGTGTTGTACGTCCGTTGCGAAACGTATAACTGGCTGTGCAGTCCGTGACGAGGGGCTTCTTGTAGTAAGGGGAGTTGAACTCGGCGTGCAGTTTCTCGGTATAGCCTGCTCCGGTGTGGAAGTCGTGGTAGATGGTTACGTTCCAGTAGCCGATGTCTGAGATGGAGGGGGCGGCGCTGACGGCCGCGATGAGGGTGAGGAGGGCGGTGGTGGTGAATTGCATGGTTGCTGTGTTGTTTTTGTCGTTGCTGGGGTGGGTTGAAGGGTATTGTAGTAAAGAATGGTAGATGGAATGCTGTGGTGATGTTGGAACTGGTTGTCCTGGCGGCAGTGTCTTATATGTTATTTTTTCCCTCCTCTAGTCTACCTGTGCCCCCCCCCCCTTGATAGCCGATGCTTCTCGTAACTAAGATTTAAGATTTACTTGTGTCGGAGAAGCTTGATCGGTGCCAAGAAGTGGCTTCGGCTTTACTCGTGCTTGGAAGTACGAAAGCTCAATGTCACGATCTTCTAACGTCAAGCCACATATCGGGCGGTCTAGAAACTCGCCCTGGACCTAAGGCAGTAATTTTCACGTATTTGAAGTATATTTTCTTTTTTGTGGCGCAAATAGTGCAGACGGAAATGAGTCCGGGAGCTGTGCAGAGGTGTAGACGAACCGGAATGAAATGCGGAGTCGGGAGGGGCAGAAGAGAGGCAAGAGTGGTCTTTTTTTAGGTCACATATTATTTGGGTAGGTTAACTGTGATTTCTCGTGCGGCTAATATCTGTGCAGATTAAAGGGATGAACGCTGCACAACAATTTTCCTATTCCACATGCAACTTTACTAGATCCTCAGACATGTATCTCCGCATCTCCTTTCGCACATGTATAACGATCTTCACAACCAGTTTTTGACTTTCAAGTTTTTGTTTTTACTTAACCACCGTAGGTACACGAATGTCAGATGTAACGTGTAAGACGGATGAGTAGTTCCGAAATTGATGTACATTATGATTAAATTATACAATACTAAGCATCATATCGCCAGTGGCGTAATGTGGGCGACAATTTCATCATCCCGACTTCAAAGTTTTGGAATTGTTCGGAGAGTTCGCAAGGTGCTCTGGTTGGATAAGAGGTGTAAGTGCTGATGTTCCGCACTCACATTACTTACTAGTGGCTAATTATAGCCACCAGCGGTGTGGAGAAAGTAAGCAATACGATGTAAGGGCATTTTCTGCCAACTTCATTTGATTGGTCCAATTGCAAAAATAACTCAATCGATACGGTGCGCGATCTGACTGCACGCTCGTGTTTGTGCATTTACTTTTTCTTTTGTGTTTTACACCGAGTGTTGACTATGCGGGCGTGAAGGTAAGATCATGTGCGTTTGACTTTGTATGATAGCCAATGAGAATATTGATGATTGTCATGAAGGGTTCTCTGTAAGGGGGAGTGGTAATGGAATAGAGCGACACTAAGTCTAACTGAGTCGCTGCTGTAGTGGCCAAGATAGGGGGTGGTAGTTATAAAGACGGCGCGACGCCTGCGAAGAGGCTACACACTAAGAAACGCTGCACCTGCTGTGACAAGAATGCGCACGACTCTTGTACTGACGACAAAAAGTTGAGTCTCTGAAAACTGCAGCAGATCTGAGTGACTTTATGCTGCATTGATGAATAGCAAGCATGGTGATAGTGCTACACGATGTTGCTGCCCAGCTGTTGTATTGTACTGGTGTTTTGTAGGGCACACCCTTATCCACTTTACCTCGAGCCTCTACCAGAGTGGGAATTTCGTAGCTCATGATGGTGATGACTTGAACAATAATGAGATGTTATATTCAAATCCCGATGGGCAGTTCATCGTCGGGCGAGCAATCCAGTGGACTACCAATAGCGAATCCCCCTTTTGATATTATTTTTAGCGAGGATATATCACGTGGTTTGCGCCCGGCTCTCGAGTTATGGCATATTCACCGGAGGCGTCGAAATTTTGAACTATGTTTTCTAGATTCTAAAGAACCATCTTTTAGACAGCTGCAAAAACCTGTTATCGTCCAATGACGACTTGAGCTGTCAAATCTTGTGTCCGGGTACTCCCGAATTCTCAATTTCGCCGAGCAATCCCGAATACCCGAGTTTTAATCGACACCACGCGCCAATCAAGAGCTGGAGTAACGGGGCCCGGCTGATCAGCGACCATGTGGGTGAGGCTCTTAATGTGGGTCAAGATAGTAGCAACTATTCATGTGAAGCCATTCGGCGATGGCTCGGTTTTGCTTTGGTGCAAAATCACGGTCTGCAAACGCATATATACCGCCACAATGCAGAACCTTCAAGTCACAGATCAGTCGTTCAAATACCATCTTTTCAACTTACGCAACGTCCTTCATTAATACGACTCTTGAGATAACATAATTCATTCGCTATTTTCTTTCCATACTCACCATGGTCGAATCAACCTCCAAAACCTCGAGCCGTAGCTCTTCTGTGACCGCAACCCCTGGCCCATCCAACTCGTCGGTTCAGCACCACGCATTGTCAGCTTCTTCACTTCGATCTGCGCTCAAGAAGCCATTCCAGGGCTGGAGCAAGGAGCTTCTTCGAGCACGAGACAACGACGATGACGACTACAATTTTTCGAGTGGTATGCGTCGTGGCGCGCAATACTACAACGACGAAGCCTAAGACACTGCTCAACCAAGCGACAAAAGAAAAGGAAGTTGATGGGAGATGAAGTGGTGGAAGGATAACTTGGTGACTGGCTTGCATTGGTCGGAGAGATGCAAGCTGATTTTGGCTATATCGGGGCACTGTTTTGTGCTTCGTGAAGGCCTGTGGCGATATTGATTGCGTACAGAGCGGTGTCAGCGTTGCGTTTCCGTGCTATTTATTATCGATACCCGGCTCATTTCATTATTGTAATTTTGCGCAATCAATCCTTGTTCAATTTGACGAGATCCGCGGGCCGCAGCAGTCGAGACCGATGCGTTGATCATCGACGTCTGGTGTGATGTTATGTCATAAAGTCTTGGCGCATGTCGCTCTCAAGATCTATGTTCCCTGCTCTTTTGGACGTCAACTATACACCTTGAACTTGACGTCCACAACGTGATCCGGCTTCTATTGCGCTCTCGTCGAACCGATGGCGGCAATGCCCCTTTGCTCCATATTGTGCTAGGGCGCGCTAACTCCAGGCTGGCTTAACGAGATTGCCATCACCCCGGCATTGGTTCGCAAGGCGACGCCCGAAACACGCCTCAACGAATGCACACCAGGCCAAGCCGTTCAAATCATCGAACCCTAGCGATAGGATCAATACACAACTGAATTATCAGTGTAGCAGAGGCTATGCATGGCGGACCAGAAGAGCAAGGGCCTTTGGACCTTGAGATCGCTGGCCAGATCACTGTCAGCAGTTCAACACCATAGCCATTTACAGCGCTGCAAGCCTCGTGCGATGCCCATTCTGATGAATGCCCTGCTCTGCTGCATACATACTATTGTGGAGAATTTTCCATAATTTCTTCTAGGCAACGATCTGGAATGGGTTTCAGCTAGCCCAGGTTAGTGGCCAATCAGCCTGAAAATGTACTAGGCGGATCAATATCCAGGGGCTGTGCGCCTAAGGCCGCCTGCATCGTGCGTTGTTCCCGCTGTCATGCAAGCAGACAGCCAAAGTCCTCCTGGTTAAATAGACTGCGGTATCCCGATCTACGCCTTCACAGCTAAGCTTCGCTCGTTACTGCTTGTTGTTCCTAGCCTAATAATCGCACATTCTTTTCCAACGACAGACCAATCCCGGTTCAAAACACCCAAATCAGCATAATGTCTAAGATTTACTCCACCGCTCTTCTTGTCTCATGCGCGGCTGCGCAATTGACCACTTCGGCATGGATGGCGGGCACCGGAAGCTACAGCCTTTCGTATGTTGCTTCCGTAATCGCTGTTGAAAATGATCGTACTACAATGTCTCTTGACGTTCAGGGCATGACCGTAAGCAGAGATAAAGTTTGGCTCTAGTAACACATACTTATATCAAGTTCAGGAAGACCTAGGTGCGGCAGCCGAGATAGGCCAGACAGTCACTCTTCAAGGCAACACCTTCTACGCAGTCAATGCTGTGGCCGAGAACGAAGGTGTGACTGTCACCATCATGGGACAATGCACACGCCAGAACACCGATGATCAGGAAGCTACATGCACCATGTCGACAAAGGGTCTCGAGGCCGCCATCAGCTCAGCATGTGCAAGCGCCGATTCTGAGGACGAGCTGTGCAGTGAGGGAGATCTTGACACGACCACTACTACGACACTGCCAGACGGTTACTTCAACATGGTTCAGGTTGTCGTTACATCTGGTGAGAACCTGCTCCCCAGCGCTTCTGCAGCTGCTACACCTTCTGCCGGCAGTGCTTCAGTCACCTCTTCCAAGCCATCCGCTACCAACTCCGCCAAGCCCACTTCTTCCGGATCAGAGGAGGCTGCTAGCTCTGGAGCTTCCCGTACTTCCCAGGCTTCATCAGCAGCCCCTGAGGCTACTAACGCTGCGCCATTGATGACCATGGTTCCTGCTTTGGCAGGTCTCGGTGCCGCTGCTGCTTTCTTCTTGTAAACGTTTTGGAGGAGATTTTACCGTCCTACTTCAAAAACCTCGAGTAGTTTTCCGCGTCACGAAACCGACACCACGAACCGCCCAAAGTCTATCATACCCAGTTATTTACTCTTTTTTAATGATATAAAATTCTCATGCTGTTTTGAAACCACCGTTCGCAAGTAAACATACTTTCAACTAAGAAGACCTTTTTCCCGGATTTTGATAATTCATTCTCATGGCTCAAGACAGACCAGTCTCTCCCCTTTTTTCCCAAAACAGCAAACTCCATCTTTATCTTTCATCACTTTTCCGCAGTACACATGCCCTTCACACTCGCTGCTCGCGCACTTCCAGCTGCTTACTTCACCTCCTTTCTCCAACACATAACATCCCCCTTTACATCCTCTTACCCCCACTGCCGCTCCATGCGCACCTCGCGAATGCCTACACCGCATATCCCACGGAAACGCATCGCTCTTCACTACCACCGTTTTCGTCGGCAAACCCGGCAAGTCTTCAAGCGACACGCGGCTAAAGTCAGCATGCGAGTTTGGACGCGGCAGTTCTGGGATGTCATGCGCATTTTGGCGAGTCGATGTGCCTCCTGGTCTTAGCGACATCCAGCGGCGCGGTGGGCGTGGCGGGACTAGAACTGTGAGTTTGTAGGGGAGTTTGCTCCATTCGTACTCCTCTAGGGGGTCTATGCTTGGTTCGTAATACATTTTATCCTGGATTTCTAGCGAGAGATGGTGTGTGTGTATGGGTTATGGAGATGTTTTTGCAGTGCTGGGAGGTATGTTGCAGTAGATGTTGGCTGTAAATAAGAGGTGTGAGAGTTTCTTTACTGATTGCGAGACAAGGACTTTGTGTGGGTGATTGCGCGTTGATCTGCGCTGTGATTGGAGCGGTGAAGGACAAACGAGGGACGTTGTGTTAGACAATGCGTTGATGGCCAATGAATTGTTGGAGTCATTGTTCAGCTGCGGCGTTTGACCACTGATACGCTGGATGTGAATACATGGCAACGACACAAGGACGACACGAACACGTGTCTACCAAAAACAAATTGCACGATACTTATTGAAGCTGTTGGATGTTCCAGCAATTCTCTTAAGGTTTGCTGTATTTGTAGTTTGTCCTTATTTTGAAACAGTCGGAGAGTGATGTTCGTATCACTAACGGAAGTTTTTAAGCAACAGGACATTTACTTAGGGTGGAAACTTGACAAGGCAACTAACGATGCAAAAATGTTCATCAGAAAAGTCTTCCATTGACTATTTATGGGATTCCGCTTATATTCATGCCTCCAAACGAGACGATATTAGTGAAGCTGCAAACTTCTCGCCCTTGGCCTTTTACAAACACTTCGTTTACACCTGCGATTCATGCCTGATCCGGATTCACGAACATGTCGACCTACCTTAATGCGAGAGGTGATTTCTGCCTCTCATTCCGGTTCTTTGTTCAACTGTAATCTGTTCATGACCTCGTAATGGAGAGATTTATCAACACTCAGCTTCACCCAGTCGATGCGTGCAGCATCTGCACTGAGCCCTTCAGCACGACTCACCAACCTGTAGCGCTCCCATGCCAGCATATATTTGGCCACAACTGTATTAAGAAATGGCTTACCAGCGGTCGAGGCAACACAAATGCCTGCCCAACATGTCGCCATATCTTAGTCCCGAAGCCCAACCCCCGGGGCTCCTTCAACGTACAGTCGATATGGCAGGAACTTTGTCACCAACCCAACGAGCGTCTCCAAGTCTTCATGCGAAAACTCTGGTCAGACCTCCAGAACCTCTGGAAAAGCCACCCCAGAGGCTCCTTTTCCGTAACCTCCATCCTCAACCAAGCCATCATCCCCGCCCTCACACACACAATCCGCACCACACGTCCCTCCCCAGACCAAACCCCCGATCCAGTGCTAGACTGCTACAACCTCATCTCTGCATCCTGGGACTCCTTAGGGAGACCCGACATCGCTGCCGGTCTCGCCATCCCCCTCGTCCGCCTCGCCCGTCTAACCGCGAACGCAGGCGCCGTCCTCCCCAAATGGCTCACAACAAGCTCGCGTATAAATCGCCTCATCTGGCGCGCAAATGCCTGTCTCCCCTTAAACTCCGATCACATCTCCTGGGACTTCATCATGCAAGCCGCCGCACCGGCTTCCGTCCGCTACTTCGACCTGCTGCACCTCTACACCGTGCTGATCAGCCAGGGCATCGCGCATTTCCCCGCTCCACACCCCTTTCCTTCCCGCAGACACGAAGTTGTGAATTTAGTAGTCGAGCGGTGTTGTAGTAAGATTGGGGGTGGAGGGTGTGCGTGGAGGGGGAGGCCGAGTAGTGAGTTTAAGGATGTGCTTGTGGGGGTTTATGAGGAATTGAGACGGTGGCAGGGGGAGAAGGGGAGGATGAGTTTGAGGGGGAATTATGAGGAGGAGGGGGTTGTGAGGGGGGTTTGGGCACTGAGTGTGTGGGGTAAGGAGAGGGTGGCGAGCGCTTGAGTAGAGATGTACGGTAGTAGGGATGGAAGTGGGCTCATCCGGTGGCCGAAATCGTCAAGATCCCACTAATTTCACTACTATTACATGACTATTACAACGTAACCATAATAGTAAAACAGGAATCGTAGTATTTGGAATTTTCTTCTACATCTTGCTTGCATGTACGCTACTTATGTACCTGTCTTGCCTACAGTGCCTTTGCGACAGTTCACCCACCTCAGCGCGCGCTCATATTAACCACTCTCTCGCTCTAGAGCATCTCCGGCCTAACCTCCCACCTACTACGTCATCTGTCGCCGAAGTACCGAGATTGCGTCATGGTTAGCCGTTCTTAGCACACAAGGTTTCTCGTCAAACATGGATTAATGTTGCCTTTAGGTAGCTATGGCGAGAATACCTCGTTATCTTATTTAGTGCCGAAGCTATCATGTCTTCATTCCTCCGCGATAACGCTGGACTTATAACAAAATTCGAAATAATTATTCACTATAGAAGGACTAATGTTATTATTATTATTATTATTATTCCATTATAGTCCTGTATCAGCCGTTGGCTATGTA